CCCAACTGTACTAGTTAGTAATATGTCATTCAATACTCGTCGATAATTTCTACTAGTTTTCCAATCTCCTCTTTGTTATAAAAGTGTACTTATCATTCATTCTTCTATTCCTGTCTGCAAACCCCAGCGCTCCGGCTAAATCAGTTGCCCCCTCTTGGGGATCAGGAGCAAGCCTTGCGCACCTCAATGCCATATGTTCTATTGTCTCGTCTTCCCCTTGGCATACGGCCCACCGCATATCTATTTCCTCATATTTTGTCCTACATGTTCTAGTCCTCAATACTCCTGTTCTAGCCAACGTTATTTGAACCAACTCAGTTCTGGAACTCCGCTCCGGAGGGGGGTCCCTTTGCGTGGCGCCTGTTAGAGAGCGCGCACTCCACATTAATACTCGCTATCATCATCATTGGCAACGTGCTTGTGGCCGTTGCCCTAGAGATCATACATACTGCCGTTGCACCTGGCCTACTAAGCTTACGGATGTTCGTGGCGCTTTTTCTGACAGTAGCAGACGACTTTCAAATTGTTTCTGCTGCAGTTGGTAGTCATCGGCACATCTACTATTACAGTATGTACAAACTTGCCTTGATTGTAGACACCAGATTGTGGCGCCGACAAATTTGGGTTGTCTGAAACGCTTTGCGCTGTCAGCACAGCTAAGGCAGCAGCATTTTACAATAATGCAAAGTGTATGCCAAAACGGTCGTAGCGCTTTTCATGCTCAAATTGTAATTTTTACTGGCGAAAGGGAAAAAAATTAACCAAAAACCATATTGAACCTCGAGAGGAGTCGGGACTCGCAAGCAGCTGCGGAGCAGTAGCAGACGAAAAAGCGTGGAATAATGCACCGGCAGCGCCACCTAGCCACAAAAAAATCGGACACGGTTTTGGACCCCCTCCAATGTACAGCGTCTATGGGAAGTCCCATAACTGAGTTGATCTAGTAACGGTGGTTCTAGCCTCAAGAAGGTGCTAGCTCTAGCACACCATCTTGGTGCTAAAATCATGGTTGCTGGTTATATGAAGCTTTATGTAAAGGCTGTGGCTGGGGTTCCATCCAGATGGAACAATAGTCCCAACTGGAGTTCCGTCCAGATGGAACCGATAGTCACAACTAGATTTCCGTACGGACAGAAAGTCAGCAAATCCTGTAGAGTTTCGTCTAGACAGAATGACAGTCGCCGCTAGAGCTCCATCCAGATGGAACTATAGACGCTGCTAAAGTTCCATCCAGACTGATAAGAAACGTGCCAGTGAAGCAGCTCCGTCCAGCATACACGAGGGCCACGGTGTAAAATACACTCTTTAGGTGAAAACACGGCGGGGCTGAATGTGCGACGCGAGGAATCAGATAGTGTTCGTTCGACGGGCATCCGAAAGGCTGCATTATTCCGCGGCTACCATGCCCGCAGCTGACAGGTCGCCGGCGGCCAAATGGCGAAACTGTGTGAGAGCGAAAAAAATTATCTCGTTGCCACAACACCCCGGTACACCGTGGTCTTTCTGCACTAGCGACAACCTCGCTGGGGCTCTGCACGTGTGGAGCATGAGGTGGCACGAGCCGTCTTTGCCGTGCCCACGGGTCGACGAGTCATCTGCCGGCGCCGCTTGAAACCATAGTGAGGAAGAAAAAGAGTGAAAAGCGAACTTTACCTGCATGCGCGAGGAGCGCGCTTTCCTCACCTGAAGAGTATTTATTATTTTACACCGTGACGAGGGCTGATCCATATGCTCCACCCTCGGCCCATTTCCAGAGTAACAACTGGCAATGATCCTATGGTATTTTTAATGTACTCTTTAAGTCAAATGCACTTGTCCCAGCAATCCTATAACATTTCTACTGCTTCCTAAAAAAAAGGTTGTCCAACCTCTGCAAACCATGCATCTCTGGCCTCTATTACCTGATATACTAATCGAAAATCTCCCCCCAAACAAATGTTTTTCTCGATGTTTCTTTCTTTTTTTTTTTTTTTTTTTTAGAGTTTGTAGTTACTGGGATCAAGATATGGTGAATACGATGGATATCATTTCCAAAGCTTTATATAGGAATGGCAACCATTGTATGCAAGACCTGAGGCTGGGTGTATTGTCGTAATGAAGGAGCCCTCCCTGTCTCAACTTTCCACAACGTTTCCCCTTGATTGCAGCACAGAATTTTGTAATTAGGCTCGCATAGTAAGAACCTCGTATTGTGGCTCCACTTTGTAAATGATCGCAAGAAAAAGCACCCACGGCATAACAAAAAATTGACGGTGAGCTTGTTATTGTTGCTTGGATGAAGAGGAACACTACTGAGCCCTCGGGACGGAACTAACGGGACTCTACAGCTCCTGCTGTCGTTCTATCTAGATGGAAGTCTGCTGGGCCTGCTATCGTTCCATCTGGGTGGAACTCCACTGCACCCGCTGTCATTCCTTCTGGACCGAACTCTGCTGGGCCTGCTAGCGTTCCATCTGGGTAGAACTCTACTGCACCTCCTGCAGTTTCGTCTAGACGGAACTCTGCTGGGCCTTCTATCGTTCTGTTTGGACGGAACTCTGCTGGGCCTTCTATCGTTCCATTTGGACGAAACTCTACTGCACCTGCTGTCATTCCTTCTGGACGCAACTCTGCTGGGCCTGCTAGCGTTCCATCTGGGCGGAACTCTACTGCACCTGCTGTCGTTCCATCCGGACAGAACTCCGCTGGGCCTTCTATCTTTCGTTTCGGACGGAATTCTACTGCACCTGCTGCTGTTCCGTCCAGAGGGAACTCTGCTGGGCCTGTTATCGTACCATCTGGGCGGAACTCTACTGCACCTGCTGTCGTTCCGTCTGAACAGAACTTCGCTGGGCCTTCTATCATTCCGTCAGGACAGAACTCTACTGTGTCTGCTACTGTTCTATCCGGACAGAACTCTTTTTCGTTCTCCGAAGACGCCGAAACAGTTTGTGACGGAGCAAAACAATATCGTCCAACCTTCCCGACGCAGTCTCAATCTCGCATTTTTTTCAATTGGAATGACCGTAAATTGCTGCCTTTTTGCACTTAGCACTCAAATGGCGGTGCCTCAGAAGAAAATTGGTTTGCCCACAGGCGCCTGAAGGAGGCGTAGTGTCTCAAACAAACCCAAACAAATCACCCCGTAGAACGCACCGACAGCTTGCTCCGCGAAAAGTGATTAAGGGCGGAAGCAGAACCGTCACAAACGACGTTCCTTCAGATGCGGGAGGGGGCGGCACAACACACAACCCAACGTCACGGCGTTCCCCGTAGATGCCAGGTGGCGGGCTCCCTTCCCCCTCGCCCCCAGAAACTCCGTTCCGCGTTCAGTTCCAAACAAAACAGCTGCAGCCGTGTGTCGCGTCTTTTTCTATTTTTTCTTTGACAATCCCCGTAGTTACTTCACCTGTCTTGAAATGCCCCCAGCCCTTCCAACTCTCTGTGTAGGCAACTGAGATAAGTGACTAAGGCTGCCCCTCTCTCGGTGCGAACAGGTTCACAGTCGCGTCCGCGGCAAAAAAGCGTGTTGTCAGTCACAGCGGCGCACAAACCTGGCTTTGGAACGCAATGAGCTGCAAAAAGTTGTAGCTCTGGCAAATGCAGCCCTACTGGAAAAAGAGTCGCATGGCAAGGATCTTTAGAAGAAAAAGAAGACTGTAACGTAGCTCCATCTTTATTTTGTAAGTTCCTTCTCTCCTGCGCTAGCACAACACAGGTTTAAAACATGCAAAATGCCGGTGGGGAAAAAAAATACAGAAAACAATCGCATTGTGTTCCTACACAATACAGAAGCCCAGATGATGACAAAAGCTTTCATAGCAACTGGGTTTGGATGTATACAAGTGCGTTAAACTCTCGTCTCGCTTTTTTTTTTTTTTTTTCTGCAGCATTTTTTTGTTGTTTTTGTGCTCTTGCACGAAATGAATCACGTATTACCGACAGTCAATGAGATCGAGATCGAGTGCTAAATTGGCGGGAAAAAAACAAGCAAAAAAACGTTGGCACCTCGCACGCTCGCTCGCGCGCCGCAGCAAATCGTTGGAACACGGAGACGCGTTAGTTGGAAAAAGAGAGGCTCCCAAGTTACGTAAGTCGCGTGCTTTTGTATCCAGCGTATTGAGCACACATCGCTGCGCCGTGGCGGCCGCTTCACTGAACCCGCGACTGCCACAGTGAACGAGCGAAAACATAAAAGGAGAAGGGATCGGAAATCCCCCGGATAAATGGAATTCAGAAGGACACCCTCATTCAAAATATGCTTCCCTCCTCACCTACCGCGCGGCGTAGAGCGCGCGCGAGCGCTCGCTAGGCGCGACTGACAGGCAGCCTATTTGAATGGCTTGCCTCTTACATTTAAATTTTCTCACACCCTTCCCCTACCCCCTCTCCGACTCAACCGTACCCGAAGCTACGAATGACAAAAACCCTTAGCCAAAACACTACCCTCGTTTAACAGCTCGTTAACAAACTGCCGAGCGAGTGTGTGTAGTGGACTGTCTATTGATCTGTTTTTGTGGAGGCGATGGCATCAGAGAGCGGCCAGACACCTCGGGCGCGTATCGTCTGGACCAATTTATTTTGTCGTTGTTTTGCTCTCCGCTATAACCCCGGAGTTTAGGTCACACAGTACGGGGGAGCAAGCACGTTTCCAGTCATCTGTAAACCCAACACCGACGTGAACGCCAGAGGCAGTGCGAGTGCGAGGCTCGCGGTACCGTCGTTAGTTCTCCGGTGGCAAACGAAATTTCGGCCCGTTCCTGCGAAACCTCAGTCGCAGAGCGGTCTACGAATCGTCCTAAACATACGCTCGACTCCGAGGCGTCCCGTGGGGACTTCGAAACGACGCTGAAATGACAGGAGAGCGCGGCTGTTCGCGATGTTTTCATTTGGGAAGCTTTGGGTTGTGGGGCTTTTGAAATGGTGGAAGGGGGGAAGGAAGGGGGGGTGCAGTGTTGTTTTGGGTTGTGATGCGCGCTTAGCTAGCGTCTGGTGCGCTTGAAATGTCAACGGGCACTTACTCGGGTGGCGCCCATCACTTCCCGCATGATCTTCTCGAACGCTGCCGTTTCTTCGGCCTGTTTCTGATTGTGCAAGGCGATCTTTTCACTGAATTTCCTCGGATTCGCCATGATGGAAGAGCGCCTCGGCTACTGCGCGATGCGATACCCTCGACACCGTCCGCAGCGCACAGACGGACGGCGGCGGGTGACGGCGGCGATAGCTGGTTGCTTCCTTGGCCGCGCGGATGCGCGGCAATCGCATCACTTCGAGAAAGATGCAATAAAGACAAAAATTGTACTATAGTGATCATAGTGGGTAACTTGCGATTGCAACTTTTCGAAAAGATCTCACCACCCCTCATTTTATGGCGCTCTTGTCGTCAACGCTTGCAACGGTTAAATTAACAAATACGTGTTCAACCGTATTTAAGCGTTCTACTGGCAATGTGAATTCGGAACTCTTAAGCGTAAACAATAAACTTTTAAAAGCCAATATTGATATTTATTGTTTTCGCCATTTTTTTATTAAATTTATCGCCACCAACTAAGGCGCCCCTGGTGAACTTCCTGATTAGTTTTCTTTCTACCACGATCTCGCCCACTAAGTTTCTCCTTGCGCTATAAATATTCTGTTTTGCATACTGTGTTTTGCACGCTCTGCAAGTACTGCAAATCGGTTCAGCTGTGAAAAGATATCGGATTATCGGCACTCGGTAAAGGAACTTCAGCTGATTTTGGATTTCTAAAGATTGGAAGGGGCATAATTGAGTGAGGAAAAATTACGTCTCTTATCGCACGTATTCAAGAGGTAATCAGTCGATCGTGTCATACCTGTCATACATAATGGCGTGATATCAGGGTAGTGGGATTCCAATTTTGTGTGCTGTGATACAGCGCTATCTATCGCAGAACAGAACATAGTTAATTATATTCTGATAACAAAAACAAAAGGAAATTTAGTATTTACATATTTCACATTTTTACAGTGAGGCAGACAGAAAATCTCAAACGCAGCCGAGTTCCCTTGCGAAAACTCGGCTGCGTTTGAGATTTTGTGTCATGTCTGTCATATTCCACTTGTCTCGGGGATTAGATTATGGTGTCACCCTATTGAATTGGCCAGTGATATTAGATTAGATATGGCGATGAATCGTTTAGTGCACTGTAGCAGGGTCGTCGACCAGCTCAATCCCGGTTTCAAAGTGTTTGAAAACGCCTTTTTGAATTTCCCGCGCTACGGTTTAGGCACTCCTTCGCAGACGAGCGATCCAGCAAACCGCATATTTAATTGCGAGACGGAGATGTAATCGGGAAATTGTTGGGTGTCATTCCAGGACGCGTAATCTGCGAAAAAAAAAAGGGGGGGGGGGGGGGGGGGGGGTGAGAACGAGGTACAAGACGCGCGCGGAAGGAAACCGGTTTTCCGTTGCCGCCGCGCCAATGCTCCCTTCCTTTAGCCCTGTTTGTTGACCGCCAAGGCCGTTCCCTCAAGTACGATAAAATGCGTCTCTTTAGTTTCTTCCTCGAAGGTCCGGCGAAGTTGACCAACACCACCTACAGATAACCAAGACCCGTGCACTAACTGGCATATCGACGTCATCGTGGCGAGATCGAGCGCAGACGCGGATTGGATGCCGAGTGCTGCATCAGCCTTCCGCTAGGACTCGTGTCAAGTCGCAGCGTGTTGAAGGACGCCGGGCTCGGGTTCGGGTCCAATCACAGTTTGGTGCCACCCGAATTTGATGACGTTGCGCGGAGGAGGCTGTACTCGCAGGCTTTTCGGGCTACAGTGCTGTGCTTGTTATTTTCAGAAATTGTGCGATGTGGAGATGCATGTTTAAAATTTCAGCCAACTGTCAAGGTTAAAAATAATATAAATATCAGGTTAGTTTGTATGGCCGAAACTAACTGGTGTTTTTACAGAAGTGAAAAAGACATGGTCAGTTAAAAAAAAAAAAAAAAAAACACATGGAACTGTTAGGAACACTACCTAAGCTGACCCCGTGTAGCTTTTGTGCCGAATTATTTAGCAAAACGAAACGTTACGAAACAATCTTAGTGCAAGTTTTTATATATATATATATATAAAAACTGCCAGCTGTAGAAAGGTATGAATTCCTGATCATCTTGTGCTCTTGGATCATCATGCTGCACAGAAAGTCAGGAAATTACCAATCGGATATTTTTTTTTAAAACACCAGAAAAAGTTGTTTTGTACTGTCTAACTGAATGGCATGCAATACATCTACAAATTTGCTTCATTCTATAAAGGCATACCTTTCCAATTTTTATGATAGCTGATTTCCAGAAATATGCTCAAACACCATGTCAACTCTATGTGCCATTTAAAAAAAAAAATTATTGCCCTTCCCACTGTTGCTTTGAAGAAAAAACACTGCATGAAGTACCCAATTCTTAAAACATTAAGCTGGCATAAAAAAATTGTGCCTTTTTTTGCATTTGAATTGTGCGAATTTCAGTAAAACAACATGGAACCGATGCTTACCATCAATTCACCACATAATGCAATTCACTACCTAAAGAGAGGAATTCATCTCTTTACTGTGATTCTTGAGGTGAAAATCAATGGGTAGTCGAGCAAGTTCAAATAATATGTTAAAGTGTGCAGTTTGTAGTGTCCTTAAAAAACGAAAAAAAAAAAAAATTTAAACAGTCTGGTTGGGATACGCATGTCAAAAAAGTAATTTTACATAAAAAAAAACTGTTGAGCAATATTGACGGCGCGAGACTTATTTTAAATTCTGCGCACAAAGTCCACGACGTTACGAAATGGTCATACACTCTTTCCACCTCAATGTGATGGTTAACCCGATCCACCTCTCCTCCACGCGCCCGAAATGCCGAGAGAGAAAACTACTGGAGAGGGGGCGACTACCGTCTAAATCTTGTCTCGCGCCACCAAGATTGGTCTAAAAAAATGTTTTTCTTGCATAAAATTAATTTTCTTAACAGGCGTATCCCAATTAAACTGTTTACAAAAAAAATCAGGAACTTTTTATAAGGACAAACTTCAACGATTTTTGTACTTTGTGCAAATACTGCTTAAAATGAATCCCCGACATTAATGACCTGTAAAACACGTTTGTTTTTCACCACATGCACAAAAAATGAAGAAAAACGAGCAGCGTTTACCCCCTCAACTTGTAGCCAGAGCAAGCAGTCACGTGATCTGGAGCCGATTATATGCCGCCAGTGTGGATTATAGCCATGCGCTGGGGTCGGCAGAGCACAGGAAGATGAAAGAACAGTACATGCGCTGAGTTCCAGACATCGTTATGGTTTGGCTATTGTCGTCATTGCAGCGATTGGACACGGGCCACCACCCCAATGATTGTCGAGCTATTATCATGAGCCCAAGTCAAGTGTTCCTGCAATGCTCACGTCCAATCTATGAGCCGGATTCAAGTATTGTCACTGGGGGGAACTGCGACCCCCCAGCTGCGTTACCAAGTTTTGCAAAAGAGAGATTGAAAGAAAATACTCGCTTTTGTCCTTGAAACTACACTGCAAGAAAGGAGTTTCTTCGTCAGTGCCGTTGCCTGGAAGTATACTTGGGTCCCGCTAGTGCCATTAAGCTCGCATAAAGTGAAACATATTCTAAGTGTGAATATTGTTGCAGGCACCAAAACACAAAATATACTAGTTAACTCATTAGCAATCAGTAATGTGCGCGGTGCAAGCTATCAGATTAATTGTCACCCTACCTTGTCAAACCTCCATATATAATGCTTATTGGCCCTTCAAGGTAAATAACTGAAATAAAAGTAGAAGGAATGTGTTAAAAACATTCTGGAGAAAATATAATTTGGACTGGTCAATAACATATATGAGCTTGCCTAAACCTGCTATATAAAATAGAGTATACTGTCAACTTCCCCAATTTCCAGTAAGCGATTGTACCAATATCTTCACACCATTCGGTACTTTTTCGTGCTGCAAACATAGCAACATCCAACAAAGTACAGCTACCCACCAGCCACCCCAAATCTCTGACAGCACAATGAAAAAAAGCAAAAAAAAAAAAAAAAAAAAAGCTCATAACACATGTTGGTTGACCATACCAGAGAATGGAGACAAGACACAGTGGCAACTAGGTAACTATCACTTTTATAAATATACACGGGGAGTATTAACCACTACACGTCGGCCTATGCATCATACCGCTCACTTAATTGTGACTCTTATTGGTGGGGTGGGGGCAAGGGGCAAGACACATTTCCGCTTGGTAATAATATCAAAAGGGACATTACAATGGCAGCCCATCCTCTTCCCACAAAGGCACCTTAGGACAAACGCCGCAGTTGTTGCATTACATACATCGTACCCGCATGAAAAGCCACGGGCACCATAGTATTTGGCATAGTTTGGTTTTGGTCAGTAAGGGTAAAAAAAACAATAAAAAAAATGAGTTAATCAAATGACAAGGGATAAAAGAAAACCGACCCACAATTGACCTGAGGGTGGGGGAAGCTTAAAAGGAAAACGAAAAGCACACAACAATTGCACACATGCTTAAGAAGTGTATATAGGAAGGCTGATATGCCAGCGCCAGTTTGGTGAGCTGACTTCTTTCTTCACTGGTATTGAATGAGTTAGTGCCGTGTACAGCCAACCTCGGCTTAGTATATTGCTGACATGGACTGTCGAATGTTTGACAATGTGATACACAATCCTAGTTTGCAAACAGGGATGACCTCATCCTTCACTCCTTGCACTGCTCTGTGGATTTCGGGCAAATCGAATGCGATGCAGGCGAATAACCTACAATTTTCTTTTTTTATCTAACAGAATCCTCGAAAAAAGACAAGCCATGAACTGCCCGAAACCTGTGGCAGCTCAATCTCGCGGCTCAAACCTCCGAAAGCCTGCAGCGCTAGGTAGCACTCAAATGGCAACATGGCAGAACTAGGGGCCTCCATTTCCAACATTGAACATTAAAGTAAAAAAATTAAGAACTGAAAGAAAACTACATGGTAGACTTTCTATTATCATGCTGCATAAGTGCTGGACACCTTGTCAAGACCAGCTATAAAGTGAGCACACAGCAAAAGGTTACAAGTGCAAGCTCATAGCTTTAAGAAGCCACTCTGCTGCTCAAGAGAGCACATATAAGAGAAAAGTATTTATCAAAGCCAGAGCCACATATTGAGAGTCTGGCCAGTGGGTAAGGTGATGAAGGCACTGGAGAGGAGAAAAGTGAAGCAAAGAGAGGAGAGCGCCGAAGGAGCGACGAAGAAATGAGGGAGCAAAGAGGAGACGACCGCCATTTTGACGCAACGCCGTCGGCGCAGAGCACTGTTGAGGCTATGCGTCATCTGCTTTGGGCTTATTTCTTTTTTGCCTGAATCAAAGTTTGTGTTCAAACGTGAAGAAGCTTCATTCGTTAGCTTCTCAAGCCACCGACAAATAACACTATCATTTTCTTGCCAGAGCCTGCCAAATAATAGGAAGGAACCAGAATTTGGATGTCGATCCCATGCATTGCACCGGGCGAATGAATGAAAATGGCGTCCCTCCCCGCTCAGCTGGGAGCAGCCGGGAGTTCACGCGCATGCACTCACGCCTCTAGCTCTGCGCTGTGGGCTGATTGGCTCACTCGGGATGGGGTCGTTACGGCGGCGAGATCATAGACTGGCCAAACTCTCCCAAAAGACGGCTCTGCTCAAAGCTACCTGCTCATGCTCTCATTCCCCTCCGAGGGCTCAGTTTAAGACGAAACAAGGCATCAATAAGGCATGCCACTGGTTCTCCCCGCTACCACTAGATCGCTGCGTGGTGCTTCAAGCACCAGAGGTGGCCAAGGCCATTTGCCATTTTTGTTGCAGATACCGGTTTCTTCCCCAAGCGCGCTCTGAGGAGGCATCGCTGGTGTACCCCCTCCACTGCCAAGGTGATAGTGTGGCAGAAGCTACGTGCTCGTTGAACCAGTCAAGCGTTTACCTTTCGGCATGTAATTGCACCCCTGCCCATACCCCCGCATAGGGACAACACCTTCTACATAAGAAAGCCTTATAGTGCCGAATTTTCCTGTGTCACTAAAGAAGGCCTCCTTAGTGCACAGATCACAAATGACTGGTGCGTGAACACTCAGCCGAGACATCGACTTCTCACTGATTAAGCGCGAGTTCCAGCCGAACGCTGACCCAGCAGCCGTCTCCGATCTGTGCCCTACGGTCGCCTTCTTTAGTGACGTATGTAAATTCAGCTCTAAGGCTCTCTTTGGTAGAGATCGGGGTCAGGTGAGGAAAGGGAGGCGGCTGATTGTTCCGGCGAGCACGCAGCTCCTGGCGCACTAGCTTGGAGGTGAACAGAGTATAGTGGAGGGCTTCTCGCACACGCTGTCCCTAAGGCACGCACTCCGGGACGATCACTCCGCCGCGTCGAGACGGACGTCACGGGTGGTTCTGAAGTTCGGTCGAGGCGGAAGATGGCTGGGGCGTGGCTTCCGTGGGACAGGGCCCCCGGTTGCAGGTGGTCATGTTGGCGGGTCGCCGGGACGGGTCGCAGCGATCGCGGATGGGGCAGCTCACCTCCCGATGCTTGTTGCCGGGGCCACACCTCGCGGAGCACTGCGTGTTGCAGACGCGCGTATTTAAGATTTCGTTCGCACATCTACCGTTCGGGCATCGCCGAGAGCGTTGCAACCGCTTACGACGTAGCGGGTTAAGAAATGCGGGCTCCTCCTACGAAGCTCTCTGCTTGCTACGATTGGTTGTTTCCTCCTCCCCGCTCACCTCCTCTCCAGAGTTTGCTCTGCTAAAGTGGAAAGAGTGGAGGGCATTAGGAGAGGAGCGTGAACCGCGTTTCTTGACCTGCAACAGGCTATGGACACGCCAGTCAGAGACGCGCGTTCCAGACATTGGCTCGTCTAACCTGGCAAGAGAAGTGCGTTTCCTGTGGACCACAGAAAGCCGGTCGCCCCCACCTTTGACCAGTCGTAGGAGGTCCAGGCCAGACAGAGGTCCAAGTTGCACGCGGATCTCTCGGGAGGCTTGAGGTGCTGTGTGTGCAGGTAGCACGATTCCTGGGGGACCTCGCGCTGAGTCACCTTGTCCACGCACTTCACCCGCCGCCGTCGTTCACCGCCGCCGCAGCCACGTGAGCACTGCCGAGGCAAGAAGGGGACCACAAACACTTTTTTGGCCTTTTCTGTCTTCTCGGCGCATGCGGTTCAATGAACACGATTTGCGAAATACCTGAAGCGGAACGATTTATGGGAACAGCGTGATAACATTAAAGAGAACCGTATATCCCGGTCAATAAATCGCACCTCTGTGTAAGTCACACCTCTCTATAAATGGCCGTTTTCACGAAAAAAAGCTGATATTGAAGTTGTACCTTTGTTTGAGTCACACTCGCATATGTTCGATCGGCTTTGCGAAACTGCATTGATAAACTTGCACGTGTGTATTATGATTACAATATATGCGCAAGCCGGAGCCAGTTTCAATGTTCTCGCCAACAAATCGAACAAGAAATATAGCCCCCGTAGCAAACGTGCGCAGCTAAGGTCCAAAAAAGACAAAAAAAAGAAACAACATAACTTGAACACTCGGCCTAACTGATGCGTGTTCGGGCTCGTCCATTTTTTTGCAATCACTGTCGAATCATTTTAGTGTGAAGCAATATAAGGGTATATATAAATTGAAGTAAACTTGAACTTTTAGCTTTTTACATTTCTTTTATGATTACGCACAATTTTGTTTACTATCTTAGCATATATGCACAAACAAAATCACCGAAAGACACCAATTTCTGACAAATAATAAACACCAAAATATATTTGCAGATCTTTTTTAAAAATTAACATTGGAAAATCTGCAGCCCAACTACAGTACAGAATCTTCGTGTTCAAAAAGTGAAAGACGTTTACAATTCTTTGTAATGCCGAATTAGAGCGCAGCTCTTGATGAGGAGGAGGGGAGGGTACAGAGAAGAGGGTTGCGTGACATCACGTGTGACGTCACGCGAGTAAAATTTTCCCACTAGAATAGCGGGGAAATTTTTCCGCTAAATTTAAAAAGAAAATTTTCCCGCTAAATTTAGCAGAAAATTTTTCACCAAATTTAGTGGGAAAACTTTGCCTTTGTGACTTCACGTGTGACGTCATTATGGGAAATGTCCCATAATGCGACGCGCAATTACGCTGACGGCGTTGCCGCTGAAGCCAGAAAGAGGCGCCTAGGAGCTGCGCTCTAAAACGAACAGTTTCAAAGGTTACCTTAGACCACTTGGACGCTCGCCAGGCATAACGGGCGTCTTCAAGGACCACCGTCTTTCGTGGCACCGGGAGGTGGAGGATCTCGGGGAGCCCGGAGATCCCCGAGAGGTTCCAGAAGTCGCCGGGAGCGTCGCCCAGAGGAACGTCCAGCACCACGTTGGTCTGGATGTCCAGTGCGCTCTCGGTCGGACGTGGCGGGACTTCTGTGGGCTTGGACGGATCCGGGGCACAAGTTGAATTGCTCTCGCACGCAGTTGAGGAAGGAGGCAAAGATGTGGGCGAGGGGGTTGACTGCGGGGAGGTGCATTCGTTGGATTGATCACCGGTGCTGCAGGTGATCTGGAAACACAAAACAGATTGGTAGTGATCTTTATCTCAAAGTCCTATCAGACTTTGATAGGGCTGAGCAAATATTCGAGTTTTCGAATATAGTATAGTTTCGAATAATATGCTATTCGATGTGCGTTTCGAGATGAACTGCAATATTCATACTTTTCAAAGTGCTGATCACGATCGGTCAGCCTTGTTGAGTGCACTTCTCACCGAGCACCTGTGCGCTGCGGGGAAGCGATACCCGTGGAGCTTGTGGGTTCTGCGGGTATTTCTTTCCTGCTGTGCACAGGTGCTGCAAGAGAAGTGCACACAATGGGACTAAACCGTCGCGATTATGCTACGGTATATTTTGGGCAGCGATGACTTGATGACACACGTTCATCATTCGTGCTTGTATTACAGCAAAGCTGTATATGGCTAAAGCGCTGTTCATACATATGCAACCGAGTAAGACCGAGAAAAACCAGACCAAGTTTTTAAGCCTCTTGCGACGTCTTAGACCAGCTCTGCTGCAGCGCATCCGGTTTTAAGATGTCGCAAGAGGCTTAAAAAAAGTGAAAGCCGTTTACAACTCCCTGTAACGCCGAATTGGAGCGCAGCTCTTGATTTGGAGGAGTGAAGGGTACTGAGGGGAGGGTAGACCCCTCCTCCTTCTCCCCTCATTCTTTAATATGCTCCGGGGGGGTCACGTGACCTGGGGGAGGGGGGGGGGGGGTGTCACGTGACTTTGGGGAGGGGGGTCACGTGACCTCGGGGAGGCGTGACCTGGGGGTCACGTGGGGGGTCACCTCAAGGTCACGTGACCCCCAAGGTGACCCCCACGTGACCTCAGGGGGTCACGTGACCTTGGGGAGGAGACCCCGTGACTGAGGTCACGTGACCTTGGGGTCACGTGGGGGTCACCTTGGGGTCACGTGACCTTGGGAGGGGTCACGTGACCTTGAGATGACCTTGGGAGGGGTCACGTGACCTTGGGATGACCTTGGTTACGGCGACGCCGACGCCGCTCAAGCCGGGAACGGGCCCCTAAGAGCTGCGCTCTAAAACCGGTCTGGTCATGCATTTTTGGTATTCATGTGCAAAAACAAGTCAGAAATTGCACATAAAAGCACCCTATTGCATGGAAATGCACAAACGCCTCATCACCTCTATATGCATTTTGATAAAGAAAGACGTAGAAATGTGTGATAATGGAGATGCATATGAGACCAACAGGCCTTCTCCCGCTCGAGTCGGGTGATGTCACTGCTTTACATATATAAAAGCAGCAGCTGCTGAGCAGGGCATTTCATTGTGTTCTGCAGTTGCTATGGGAAGGCCACGCATAGTTAGGACTCCCAAAGAGCAGCGTGCCCATGATGAGCACCACTGGTCATGCATAGATTTAACTTTAGCTAAGAATCTCACCAAAGTAGTAATGGAACCCATTAGTGTATACCATAGTGATCACAAAGCAATCATCACTACCGTTTCAGGATGATGTATGTATAGTGTAAATAAACATTTGATGAAGTTCTTTTGCATGTTTCTTGGTGAATCATTTGTGGTGGTGCTCTACACCTTCACTGGCCAACCACCGTCACAGAGTGGAATGGCCCCAAAATTTGTTTATGTTGTAAAATTTTTAATTTAAGATTGAATATATGCTATTTACAAGCCGACATATCTAAAACTCCCCTAGATTAGGATAGCTGCAACAAATTTGTCGTTAACCACAGTTCATAACATACATAACCATGTTAAAATTAACTGAGCTTAGAAGTGAGTAAATGGAAGGTTGTGCAAGAACTTTCACAAGTAAAGCTAAATTTTCGTTTTAGCACAATGTATGGTAGTAAAGACTTGGAGAAACTATTCAATATTCGATTTGAAAATGTTTGGCCAAAATCGCTACTATTCGCTTCGAATCTGCTTAAAATTAACTATTCGCACATGACACAACTTTGATGATAAAGATATCACAGCCGATTGCCTATAAGACTTTGGAGATAAAGTCGCTGCCTATAGACCGTTTTACTGAAAGAAGGCGAGAGAGAAAAGGGGAAAGGGCTACCGGCGCTTTCCCCCTTTCTGATTGTGTAGAAAGAGTGAAAGTCCCGGATGAGCGACTTGGCCGCGGTGTTGGGTGTCTGCTGTGCCCCAACTTCGTTCGCGCTTTCTTTTCTGTTTTGAACTTGCAAACTTAGTTAGAGTAATGGGCTTAGATGGCAACAGTTCCCCGGTCATCGGGACACCATTGCTTGGTCATAGGGTGCACGAATAACGACAGAAAGCGTCGAATACTGTCCGAGGACCTATGTAGCTTGCAATGAATCCGGCAAGGCGAGAGTGGCTGCAATGTCTTTAAGCTCCATCGCTTTCCACATGACCCCGGTCTTGGCAGCAGTGGGTTGCGCTAGTAAACCGAAAAGACATTTCCTCAACACCATCTTCTCGACTGTGCTCGGAATAGCTTGTGAATGGAGCGCGCACCGAACGCTCTACCGCCGATGAACATGGGGTGCGCTCGCAAGGTGCGTGCCAGTATTCTCGTGATAATTGCTGTTTCAGCTTGTAAAATTTTGTAACTGAATTTATCTTAATATTGATAATTTGCAGTGGTGACTGACTCGATTTCATCATTTACAACACTTAGTTGAAGGCTTATTTCCGCCGCCGGATGAGGCTAGAAATTGTTGAAAAGGTAGTTCTATCGGTTTTCCTGAATAGCGATCTTCTGTGCGATACCAGAGAGCCGGCAAAAGCGCTGCTCGGAGTGCCGCTGGTGGTTTGTTTGGGTTGTTTCCGGTGATTGGGCGCTTTGAAGCGCTGGATAGTCGCTCCAGGGTACGACTCGTGTGTTGCGATCTGCGTCTTCGAGCCCAGTGTGTACGTTTCTTTGTTTTTTTGTTTTTTTTTCTTTATTTGTTTGGCGGGATTTTTTCCGCCCAGGGGGCAGAGATAAAGGCGTGAAGCCTGACAAAGTCTCTGCCCCCCCCCAACAGTTCAACAGTAAACAGTACAATAAATATAATCAGCAAAAAGTATACTCAGTAGAAAAAAAAAAAAAACACAGTGGAACAGGTATTTTAACATTCAACATTGTGACTTGTAAAAAATAAAAAAACGGCACAATCAAACAACCAGCAAAAACATGTTACACAGCAAGCATGATTCGAGGCGTATAACACATGTAACGTCGTATGACACAGAAGCATCATATCACTAATATAAAAAAAAAGAATAAAACGTCAGAAGAATGTTACAGCCTAAAATAGGGCTGATGGCAGCAATTTAGTCTAGAAATGAATAATGATCGAATATATGCCAAGAGCCATATTTGTAGTCAAATATAAATACATAATAAAAATAACAGCTTAGCCTACATATCACACAAGTGAGAAGCTCATACCACTGCCCACGAGAAAGCTTCGGCACTGTTTTTTGAAGGCATAAAATGTTTTATTATAATCTATAGTCATGTCTGTTCTGTTTAGCATCTTAGTTATCTGATATGACAAAGCAGTGCGGCCATAATTGGTTCTTATTGAAGGCATCCTTCGTTTTGGGTCTCGTAGTTGGTACGGACCTAAACTCGATTTTGGTGTGGAGTATATTCTATGTTTGTGAATCCATTGTAAAAGTTTAAAATAGTCATAGCATCCGCCAGTGTGGCAACGGGGGGAACAGCGGCAGCGAACGTGTCAGTGATAGAACTTGGAGGTTAGTACTCAAAATATTGCATCAAATAGTAAAATAATTCGTGGCTGCTTTGACGCTTTCTGCGGTTCGATATAAGCATGTCAAGAATGTCTTCGTCGTTCATCCACAATGAAATATGAGAACACGGACACGCAAAATAAAAGCAGCGCAGCAAAACGATCTGTAGCAGCTCCGGGTGTTTACAAAAGTTAATTGAGGTTCCTGTTTCGTGTATCACTAGTTCATTACTAAAAACGGCTGCGTTGAAAGGGGTTTATTGCAAGCAAAAATTTATGAATGGTTCATCATTTCCAGTCGCGCGAAAAGCGGCGGAGCTTCAAAACATTGCAGCCGCACGTGCCTTGCCGAATCCCATGCAAGCTACGAGGTCCTTGGGCGGTATCCGACGCTTTCTGTCGTTATTTGTGCACCCTATGACCGAGCAATGGTGTCCCGATGACCGGCGGACTGTTGCCATCGAAGCCCGTGGCTCTAATTAAGTTTGCGAGTCTAAAACAGAAAAGAAAGCGCGAAAGAAGTTGGGGCACAGCAGACACCCAACACCGGCCAAGCCTCTCATCTGGAACTTTTACTCTTTCTACACAATCAGAAAGGGGGAAAGGGCCGGTAGCCCTTTCCCCTTTTCTCTCTCGCTCTAAAAATGGCGCTACCCACGATAAAACGGTCTATAGGACTTTAAAGATAAAGATCACAAAAATCACAAATTTAAACAATTGCTCCTTAAATATTGCATTTCATGCATTAATGCACTGGAAGCTCATATCCAAGAAGGGATTGCATAAATTTGTTTATAAGACATTATACAGTCGTTTCAGGAAGCAAAAAACATGTTTAATAATTTTACCAATAAATTTTGCAAGAAAATTGCCTCTAGATTTCTTCACTAAATTTAGCGAGAAAATTGATGTAATGTATCCTAGTGTCACTCTATGTAGTTCAATGATATAAGGACAAGTGGCAGTGTCGCAAGATACATTGACGTGACGTCGATTTCCCCACTTAATTTAGTAGGGAAATGTCTAAACAGATGGATAGAGGAAAGGGGCAAATTTTTGGGATAGGAAGGTTCTGTTAAAAAGCATTCCATATGACTTATTGAAATATCATAATCCCATGGATAAAACCAGGATACATGGAAGTGCAGAGCAGTATGGGCTGTGCAGAGTGAACTTTCTTAGTCGTCCTATTTTTTGTTATTTACAGAAGCCCAAAAAGTAGCGGAAAGCCCCTTCCCAGGGCGACCGACGGCTGAGCGTATTAGCAAGTCGCAGGTTGGAGCACATGGAGCAAAAGCTCACGCTGCAAAACAGAGATCCTGGGTTTGATCCCCACCCCTGTTCATTTTGATCTGGATGAGCATCGTATGTTGGCGTGTGGTCGCGTGCGTCACCACCATCCTTGATTAGTTCAGCCGGAAAGATGACGAATGCCACGACACTGCATTGTTAGCGCCGCTCAATTGGACCCACCCACTCGTAGCATCAGCCGGACTTGGACTTGGGACCAGTTCACACGTGCACCTCAACGCTGAGATAATGCAATTGCGTTATCCCAAAGCTGTAGTGCTGAGATATCAGCTTTATGCCATGCCTACTTTAAAGTAGGCATTGTGCTGATACATACGTAGCTCAAAGTCAGTACTTTGTCTATACAGTCATGCGTCATTAATATAAATCCCGTTAAGATGAATATACCCCGCATTACAGATGAAATTTTCGGTGATTGATTTTTTTTTTGTCGTGTAATTTTGCCCCATAAATATGGAAACCCACAGTCTGTACTATGGACAGCTGTTTTGGGATGAATTGGGTATATACGGGCATTTCTGTCCCGTTATTATAGACTCCAATACCCCACAGAAAAAAAGAGAATGTCCAAAAACTTCCCCGAGATATCGGCGAAACCAAGAGGTCACAGTTCGCACCCAGACATTCTTTCGCAGGTATTCGCAGCTACGCACCAAAATATGTTTTTGTTTTCTCTTTTTCGTAAAATGGGTCATTACCGCTTGCATTCTATTGTTGTGCGAGATCGCGTATGACCTACCACCGGGAACAAAAAAGAATGCACCCCCAGTCACCTAGGTCGCTTCACTGTAGACCTGGTCACTGTTCGGGGAACAGGAGAGGGGCTCTGGACCCATTAAGCTAATTTCTCCTATGCTCCGTTTCACCATAACTTGACAGATGGCAAAGGCTATGGTCCGAGAAAGCCAATCAGCACATCGGAGGGAGACACAAGACTCATTGGGTGCGCGCAGTGCCATCGGAGACACGGGCGGGAGGGAGGAAAATGCCGCTTTTGTAAGAATTTCAAGTGACAAAGTTCTGAGACGCGCAAAAGAGGGTTCGGATGCGAGTTCCTCCTACCCCTCTTCTCCAACTGTTATGCGAAAGCCACCTAAGCTCTCGTCCTCATACTTTTCGTGAGGACTATCACGTGCTTTGCCGCCGTCACCTTGATTTGTTATTATGGATGACTTTTCTGGCAACGGAGGCGTCCGTATTAATGAGGCATGACTGTAGTAGCGCTGAGTTGTTAGCACTTTATGTGTGAACAGGCATGTCATTATGGTGAAATAAATGATAGTAATGCTTACCGCCGGACCAGGCGTAGTGGTGTTGCCATGCACGGTGTGGCACCTCGCATCGTCTGGACAGGGTTCGGTGTCGGCCGGTCTGGTAGAGGGGTCGCAAGCCTCCTGATTCAGCGCCAGTTGGTCTGCCTTGCCACGCGAACGCACACACAGCACGGTGTGGCGACGGAGACCACCGCATGTGGCCGAACAAGGCTGCCACGGACCTACGTGGCGAGACAAGATGCACAGACTGACGGAGAGCACACATACCTTCAGCCGTTCACAGACTTCAATATACCGGCGTTTGGGAGGAAAGAGAATGCACTTTTTTCACCTAAAGAAAAAGCTATGCGTTGTCAAATGCTCAGGCCTCACCCAGATGTAACCCTAGCAGTTGGGACCACAAGCTAAAGTTTCAGAACTTACTGTCATAAAGATTTCACCGTCATAAAAGGTAAAAGAAATTTTTAAAATTTTTTAAATGAAATAGGATCAACCAAAAGTGATTTATCATTTACATGCTGATGATTTAATATAATCTTTATTTATTTATTGGTTTATTGATCCATTTATTGAATGGCGACTCTACCGACCGACAAATCATTCTACTTGCCTATCCACCAGCTAGCGGGGCAGGGTTAGGGGGATTGGTGCACCAATCAAAAGTTATTGGTCAATTAAATATGAATAACAATTTTTAATCTTTTCAATAATTGGTTCGTAGGTCTATTTATTGATTGGTGACTTGTCTGACTAATAAACTGCTCCACTTATCCATCCACCAGTGAGTGAGATGGATAGAATGAGTGGTGCACATGCACCAATCACAACTGATTGGTCGATTAAATATAAAAAAACAATTTTGACATATTTTTATTAATTGGCTGATTTGTCTATTTGTTGATCAGTGACCCCATCGACTGACGAATCTTTCCACTTGCCTGTCCACCAGCGAGTGAGGCAGGGTCGATTAGTATGCCGATCAAACATGATTGGTCAATTAAATATCACGTCAAACACAATTTTGAATCCTATTCTCTTATTAATCGGCCGATCCGTCAATCTACGAATTGGCTACTCAACTGACCGACAAATCCTCTTCTACTTACCTGTCCACCAGCGTGCAGGGCAGGGTTGACGACTGCAGGGGCGGCGTCGTGTAGCTGGTCTCGGCGGGCTCACACCCTCGCAATAAGTGTCCTCCACCAGGCCCGCCTCCTTCTCCACGCACTTGGGGGGCGACTCCTGGGCGCCGCCGCCACACGTCACCGTGCACGGACTCCAGTCGGACCAGCGCCAGTGGAACTCCGGACGGCGGCTCGCGTTCAGCTCCGGCACCGTGTACTCGTACTTCAACCCAGGGTTTTCCGACTGGAACAGCAACTGCAGAGATTGCCCGAAAAGGTGAGGCTACGGGGAATGGGAAGCAGGTATTGGGAAAAACAGTGCTTCACCATTTCGCACCAGAGCATGCACGTAAAGCTTCGCCGCCTTGCACTAGCTTCTCGGAGAAGCAGCCGACGCGGGGGAGCACGTCAATTAGCTGGGCGAGCTATAAGCTTTCCTGGGATGGGCGCTTGATACGACCTTTGCTCATACTTCGATTGTTTTAAAAATTGGAGATCCGCACTTATTGCGACGTGGGCGCATGCTAGGTATTTTATGGTAACTATCCAAAAGCGTCTGAATCGCGTGCTAGCAGAATCACATCCTAGCTATTATATTAATATTTACATACCTCGCTTGTTATTGAGCATCATCGATACTTACTCCATTCATTACGCAATATGAACTATCGTAGTCGCCAATAAGTTTGCAGAACTGATCGTAATGCGAGACAGAGTGTAAGTACGGGAAGCCGAAACACCAGTGGTGCTTACGTAAAGGACCAGCTCCTGCTTGGTGGGCCCCGGTGCGTGCAGCAAGTCCTTCTCGCCCTGCCGCTGGTAGAAAAGGGTGGTTCCGGCGGCAGCATACTCCCCGCTCCATTGCACGAACCAGTCGCCATTGAGGAAGAACTCCCCGTCCGACGCTCCCTGCACCGCCAAATAGTTGCTGGACGAAGCCAGCTCCTCCACCCTCAGGTTGCGGGCACCGCGTGGGATGCGCCCAATCTCTGTGTAACCTGGGACAAAGATTATTTCATCAGTGTTTGGTTTTAAGTAAATTTATTGATTTAGTAACTATTTTATTAGCCACACTGTTGTTTAAATCACACCCCTCTATAAATGGCCATTTGCACAGAAAAGCTGGCATACAAGTTCAGGGGCAGACTTAAAAGAAAAAGAAAGAAAGGTGAACCCCCCCCCCCCCCCTTTCCCCAAGCCCCCAAAAGGGCAGCTTTTTTTTTTTTTTTATGGGGAGAAAGCGACATGCATAAACTTTTCTTATAAAGAAATTTTTTAGTTTTTGGTTAAATGGCAAATATTACGTCAGCAAAATATATTTGGGCAATGCATCACCCAAGGCGTCACATCAGTCCGTGACGTCAGATCTCCCTGCAGGCCCTACCCTACCCTACGGCCCCCACCTCTCCCCCCCCCCCCCAGCCCGCCCCATAATTCCACCCACGTATAAGTACATATTCTTATGGTCGGCACGATGAAACTGCACTGCACAAAAATTCATCACATGTTGCAATACACTAAAACCATGATGGTGCGCAGCGAGCTGTGAGCCTGGGACACGAAGACATCAATACTGTGAACGCTGCTCTTCCGGAGTTTGACAACTGCCATGCACGGCTCACTCTTTAGAGCATTAATGGCCAGGCAAAGAGCAAAGAGCAAACTGTGAAGCTTCATGGAAGGCGAACTGCGCTCACCTTCCATAAAGCTTCACAGGTCAAGGTTTCCGCACCTTTTAAATGTTAACATGCTCGTTTTACTAATGCACATCTCTGTCCACCAGTGAGCAGTAATGTGCTCCTGCCCCAATCGCTTTGCATTTGTAGACAAATAAATTAGCGCACTGACCAGCGTCGGCAAGCAGGCACGTAGGAAATACTGGAGACTCTATCCCGGCTCTTTCCGGCTCTTTCCGCCATCTTGGAACTACTGGCCTACCATCAATAGGGCGTTGGAGTTGCAAACATAGGGTGTCCGAAGCGGACTTTGGCTGTAATACGAGCCGGAAAAATCGGCGCCTGCACATAGTAAACTCAATCTTTCACCGAGCATATGCATCAGCAGGTTAGTTTCACCGTGTGAAATTTCAATGCATAGTTCTCTTCCTGTAAAAAATGAAAGTGAAAAACTTGCCAATGTCAAGGTTGGGTCCGTTCGCAGATGATTGAGTTAGCGACGCTATTTATTTCTGGCGCCATCTCTTGATAGGCACAGCGAGCAGACAACGCACTCTGTTGTCAGCTCGCTGCACCTATCAGAAGATTGCACCACAAGTAAGTGGTGTCGTTAGCTCGGTCGTCTGAGAATGTACCCAACTTTGATTTCGGCAAGTTTTTGCTCTCATATTTCAAGAAGAGAACTGTGTAATGAAATTTTATGTGCTACAACTGACCTGCTCGGTGCGCATTTGGTAACGCATAGGCGGCCGATTTTTCCGGGTTGTTTTACAGCGGAAGGTCTGCTTGAGACGCCCTATCTTTCTCGTCTACAGAGGAGACACCAGATGCACACTGAGGCTGACCGACTTGCCGATGTCTACGCATACACACAACATAGTTTCTTTGATTAATTCACACCAAGCAGGAGCACTGACCGAGGCCCTCTTTCTGGGTGAACTCCTTGCGGACAGTGATGCAGCGCGTGCCGTCCCCATGGCAGATGCCACAACGGTCCTCCTGGGCACTGGTCTCGATGCCCCAGTCACATGACACCCTCTGAAAAGCCATTGGTTTATCACTGCCTTTATCTTCCTAGATAATAGGTGAGCACAAAATAGCAGTGAACAGGCAAGTATCATGGCTGACAAGATCCTTTTCCATCTAACTCTACTGCTTTTCATTTCTGTACATTCTTAGTACAGTTTACGCAAAAGTATGGCCATATCACAAATAATGTTATTGGTAATAGAAATTTCCTTCATATGCCGATTAAAAGTTTTAGTCTTAAAAAGTTCACCCAAACACTTTTGCTAATTCTTCAGAAAATTCAAGGCATGCATATCGCCATGCACCACATGGTATGCTTCATGACACATTAGTGTACAAGGTTATTTTCCTAATAAGAACCTGCATTAGAAAGACCATGTCCCTTATTTGTATTGTAATAAGATGATATGATGCTAATAATGAATTGAGTGCTGCTCAGCATGCAAGCACTTACAGTAGGCTCACGATAAATTCAAACTCAGATATTTTATACTTCTGGTTAATTCAAACAAATTTCAAAATTTGGGTTGTCCCGCTATGTTTTCAACATATTTGTAAGTCGCCTAATTCGAACGGCTTTTTAGTCTAATTCATATCTTTATTTTGTCACGGCCCCAATGAACGTGCTTCTTTCCGAGCACCAGTGCATTGCGGAGAAGCAATACCTGCAGAGCCATGCTTCTTCACAGTGCACCGACGCTCGGTGTGAAGCGCACTCAATGGGGCTAAAGCAGGGGACAGATAAGCAATGAAAACGGACGCCACGCAGCAGTTTCCATAGCATCTTGCACGGACGCTGTGATGTGGTGGCAGGGAATAGGCCCGTGCAAGTTGCTACGGAAACTGCCGTGCGGCGCCCGTTTTTATTGCTCACGTGTCCATTGCTTAATAGTCCACAATAGACAACTTTTTTTGCTGGTTCAACAACCCTAATTTTGTTTTGAAATGTCAAGTGCTCTCTAAAGCGTGTTTTACATGCAGCGGTTTTGGCCCTAGAGCGGCGCAATTTCTGCCGTCGCGGCGCTCTGGCCAGCACCAGCGGTTGAGTGGCACGAGCGCCGTGACAGCACAAATCGCGCCACTCTAGGGCCAAAATCGCTGCATATGAAACACGCTTAACAGTCCACAATAAGCAACATTTTCGAGGAATAAATAAGGTTATAGTGAATTTACAAAAGAACGCCTCTGCCTGAAATGTTGCCCATCTACCTTTTTCGGTAAAATATCTATTTTAATAAAATTCCCAAACATTGCCCATCCCTTAAAAATATTGGTAGCTTCGACGTATTAGAAAGCCCGGGAAGCTCCCACCACAACATGTCCAATGGCTGTCAGAAGATGACCCGTCCGCAAACACCACCGGTGACCCAATTTCTAACAAAAGAGAAGATACTTGTCCAGTTAGGTTGGTAAGATAAGGGCAAAGATGTGAATCATTCAAAAACATCTGGGTGCAAAGAAAAAAAGGAAACAGCTCAAGCAAACAAACTTCACACTAGTAGACAGTCATTCCTCTGCCTACCCCACAACTGTTCACCCACGCTTGCTTCCAGCATCGACCATGAGGAATGCCTACACGATTGAGAGAAAGGTGGAAGTTGTTCAGTGGCATAAGAACAATGGTGACAACGTCAGCAAAACTCCAAGACATTTTGAGCTAAACAGGAAACATGTTTGCGAGTGGCACACCAACTACCAGTCCCTTCTGCAGCTGTGCCATGGCAAAAACAAATTCAAAACAGCCTTCAACAACGGACAACCGGTCTTCAGCAAAAAGCTCGACGAAGCACTCGTAGATGTCTTTGATACCGAGCAGGCAGCGGGGCGAACGGTGAGCAACTACCTCCCTCAAGAGCACACAGGCAAGCTGGCAGTTAAAATGAACCAGGGCAACTTCAAAGCTTCAAGCCACTACCTGGCCCGCTGGAAAGCCTGCTTCAATGTTTCAATGCAAGTGGGGACAAACGAGAGCAGGAATCTACCGGCTGACTATGCTGACGCCATCTCTCCCTTTCTGAAGGTTGTGGGAAGCCTGCGCCTGGAGCACCACTACTCCAACTTTAGTATCGGCAGCATGGACCAGACCACGGTACGCATGGACTGCCCAGCCAAGCAGACAGACAATGTTGCCGGTGAATCCAGCATCCGCGTCGTGAACACAGGCTGTGCCCGTCGTGGACTGATGCTCATACTCTGTGCAACAGCTGCGGGCATCAAACTCCCGGCTCTTGTTGTGTTCGAGGAACCGACGGGCCGGATCCCTCCAAGGGCACTGTTCGCACTCCAGATTCCAGGTATTGTCTCAATTTCCACGTAAATTCTGCGTTACTTCTGGTTTTCATTATCCAAACAAACTTCACCATAAAAAAAAGTTTATGCAATCCAGTCTTTCACAAAAGAAAGAAAAAACAGCTTGTAGAGCAGTTCCGCTTTTTGAATGACACGGAAAGCGTCTTCTGCATGTTCTGATGAGTTTCTAGTACAAGGTGCTACACGTGTTTGTTGCCATTTTTGTTTTCAATCCAGCCATGCTTTCGTGTTGGTGGCCGCTGCTGCTTTTGGTGTACTTGGCTTTGCTGGAGTTTGGAACGAAACTGAATCTCAGCTCCTTTCAGAAAACGTGTGAGTAACCTGTTCAAGGAGCGGGTGGATGACCACGCCGATCTTCCTCGAATGGGTGCCGAGGGTGTGGGGTGCCAACAAAGACGATGTGAGGCAGTCGCTGGTCCTGGACCAGGTGCCCATTCACAAGACAATGGCAGCGCGGGAGGCCCTCTACGGAAAGGAAACTGACGTCGTCTTTATTCCTGGCAGGTGCATGTCTATCCTTTAACCAGCAGACATATGCTCGATGAAACCTTTCAAAGATGCCCTCAAGAATTGTTGGTCCTCTCCTTACGGGAAGGAGCCGCCGTGCACCATCAAGGGGAACCTCAAGAAGCCGTCGCGCAAGTAGCAATGTCCTTCGAGCGCGCAGCGAACCAGCGATGGGATTCAAAGCTTGGGAGAGCATGGTGGACAAAGTGCAGAAACTCGTCTTTGACAGCAATGCATCTTTTGATGGTTTCAGCTATGACGATTAAGGAATAACGCGGATGTCTCGCCGATCTCCCAAATGCAGCCACTTTTTTTGTAGTTTTTGGCACTTGACTCAAAAGTTTGCTCATCCCATATTTTTTTACTTGATATCTTCGTAGTTCGGGTGGGTGTTCTCTTGGAACTTTACGGTATGTCATACATTGCACCAATGTTTCATGTGTGGCATAGCTGCTTATGAAATTTCTAATAATTCAAACTTCCGATAATTAAAAAAAAAAATTGGTGGTTTTTCGGAGTTTGAAAGAATGAGAGTCTACTGTATTCAGTGGGTAAGCACCCTCAAGAAGTACTTTCTTCCATGCAACCAGTTGCAGATTGGACTGACATTAAGACTTCGAACACAGGTTTTATGACTAGGCACTTCTATCACTGAGCAGTACATGCACTGGAAGTATAAACTGTTATATACATATATGGAACGAGAGGATTCCTCATATAAGGTCATAGGTTCATTCAGCAGGTGAACCTAGCCTAACTTACCAAGGCATAACAGCTGGTAGGTTAGGCTCAACTTGAGGCGCATTAGGCTTAGGCAGGCCTAACCTGACTTATATCGATCTAACCACCCGTTGAACTGACCCCGAACAATGAGTAGATTCCAAATTATGAGGTTTGGCTTCACATGACAAACATTCTCTCAACCGATATACAACTGTTCGAACTGCCAAAAGTTAGTGCAGATCCTTCACAACTGCACAAGGCAATGCATACCCTGCACTTTCCATTGATGCACACATCTCTTGCCCCAGGGCTGCATGGTGTTCCGTCCGTCACAGACTCCTTCAGCATCAGTGAGAAGAACTTGCCATCTGGCTTACAGTGGAGCTGACAAGGGGTAGCTATAATAGAGACAGAAACAAAGAAAGTGTTGAGAGGCACACATCTACATGAAACAACATTATGTTACAATGTGAGCCACATCTAGTCGTCGAGGGCTTTCAGCTGTTAAAGGGACACTGACAGGGTGTTTGTGCTCGCCAAGGTTTTTATTAGTACCTCACATACGAAAGCCCAACTGTCTAGAACACAATTTGCAGCTTAAAGTTCATATTCTTTCCGCCTGAAAACCACTGATTGAGAACTGGCCGGTTTGAGTCGCGCTCACTTTCTTTTCCATGGTCACGTGCCACGTGCCATTTTCTACGGTTTAGACACAACCACCAAATATAATCAAAGTTGTGGATCATCGAAAGCATATACTATATATTAAAAATAGAAAAGAAATGTGATACCCATTTTTCTGTTGCTTCTAAAAAGCTGCGAATATGTTGATTGAAGAAAAAAAGGTTGCACAGCCACGTGCCTTCCACCAACTCTCTCCTCCTCTATATTTCTTCTTCCTCCCCATTCCAGTTTCAATTTCTAATCCGAACAGTTGTGTTTTTTTGTTTTTTTTACTTTATTAAAAATATATCTGATGTTTCAGCAAAATATTGATTGGAACCAGGGATGGGCAAAATACATGCATGTATCGAAATACAAATACAAAATACTTCGTCGAAAATGTATTTAATTACAACAAGACACAAATACAACCAAATGTATTTGGTCTCCTCCAAATACTTTTCCGAATACATTCTTCTAAATTTGCGTTAGCGACTTGAGGGCACCTGCAACGGGTTTCTGGTTATCTCATTTTAATTTTGCGTCGCACACTTGGGAGTTTGTGTGCGAGGCTCTAGTAACGTAATAGAAATATAATCACAAAGAAATGTAATCAGCTTGGACGTAATAGGTGAAAAAAGTACAGAGGTTCAAGCAGCTTTTTTTGTCGATTACATTTTGGTATAGACCAACAAAGAACCGAGATGACCAAGACGCGCAGCACTAGCCAGACATTTTTTTATTGTTGCAACTCGTACCAGTTACGAAATCTGACGACCCGCGCATTTAGAATGTGGCAGACAAAAAATATGGATGGAAATCAGGCTGGAAAGCATCACAAGTTGTCACCGGCACTTATTTAGCCAGTCTGCCTGTGAGCGTCGATTTCGTCACTATTGTTGCCCTGGACTAGCACCGCAATCACACGGTCACTAAACGCTTGTGCTTGATTGAGAGACACTGCATTCGGTGCAGAACGTAGTTTTCTTCTTGCTCTGGACAGTGCCTTTAAAATAAAGCCGGAGTAGAAAAAGAAAAAAAGCCCCATGGCCGAATAAAGGATGGAGGCTATATCTTACAACTACATGCATAAAAACAAGAATTGTAACTTTGGCAATAACATTTATTTAACGTAATAGAGGCAAGTGCCGCGGGCGCCCGGTGTGCCCGGGCGCCTGCGGTGAGCGAGACGCGAACTGCCGCAGGACTGGTTTATGAAGAGATGAAGAGTTTCTTGGTTTGTTGTTGCCGTTGGCATTGAGATGAAGAAAGAGCAGCTTTGGACACGTCTTAGGATGAGCAAAATGAGTCGTGACAATGAATTTGAGGGCTGTATTTTCGCCCACAAAATTGTATTTAATTACAATTGTATTTGAAATACCCATGTTTTAGTATTTAAATACACACGTCAAATACATTACCCAATTTGTAATTAAATACAAATGCAAAATACACAAAGTATTTAAAATATGTATTTCAAATACTTGTATTTGAAATACTGCCTATCCCTGATTGGGACCTAGGTAGTCTTCTGATACCATAATGAATCACCAGGCAAAAAAATAAAACAAAAACTTTTGGGGGTTGTCAGTGTCCCTTTAAAGAGGCACTGACACATCAAAATAATTTTTTTAAATTATCTGAAACGATTGAAAACGATGCCGGGACATTACCCTCAAAATTCGAAACTTGGGGATTCAGTATTCGTGAAGTAAAAAAAACAATTTCCAAATGCCGAACCGAAATACCCGCACAATCCGGGCCAGTGCAGTGACGTCAAATTTTGCGGTTTCCTATAAGTCGACTTTCTTTCACGCCTCCGTGCTGTTGCCACCGCGACCCGAAGCGAGGAGGTGAGGAGCGGGAGAGAAGGGCGCCGGCAGACCAGGAAAATCCAGTTTCTTCGTCTGGTTCTCCGACTCACCAATCATCCTCTGCTCGAGCGCTGCCAACTTTTCCGAGGGAGGATACAAATCCAGGAGGCGACATCACACCGGACTCTGATTTTTGGTATTTCAAAAAGAAGGGCCGAAGTGCGTTCGCAATTGCGTTGATAAACATGTTTTACGATTGCCGTTATTAAATGTTATAGAAATGTCGCCTACGAAGCTTCTAAATTTCATGATTTTTGACATCACCAATCAAAATAAGCGAGGAGGCGAGGAGCGTGACAGAAAAACGGCAAAAATAAAAAGGAGTGTGCACACATAGAAATGTTCTTTTTTTTTTGCGATGCGTCTTTTTTTCCCCATGTCTATGACTACGATTTGCATCGTTTTAGACAGTAAAAAAAAATACAACCTTTGGGGTGTCAGTGCCCCTTTTAGCCATTCAACCATTGCTAAAGGGTAAATAGAGGTGAATTTCAGAAATGCATAGTGCGCATTGTTTGTGCTAGTTTAAAAATATTGTCACGAATGAACAGGCAAAGAAACAAAGAATAACTGGAGAAATTGAAACGTTTAATGGGGGCGAACTTTTGCCCAAAACTAGAAAGGAAACAAAAGATAACAGCAGAGCATCGCAGGCGTCGAAGTCGGCGAAAGAGCAGAGTCGAACGCTGGGGCGAAACTGGCTCCGCTCGCCCTGCGAAGTCCCTTATGTACCCTCGCAGGTTTCTGGATCATTTGGTGTAGAACTTTCGATGCGTAGAACATTCAGAACTCAATCAGACGAAAATGTTCTCGAACTTACGAGAAGGACAAGTTGAAAGAGTAAATAAAAGGACAGTCCATTGGCTGGAATTGAACTCTGGTTTTCTGCGTGGAAGGCACGCGCGATAACCGTTAGGCCACGAGCACGCTACCTACTTTGTCAGCTGCGCTCGCAGCAATATCTGGAGATTGAGTGGTCAAGTGCCCAAATAGTCAGCATGAAAGCAGTCTGAAGGTATTTTTCCTGTATTTAGCAAGTGTGGCGGTTTATTTTTGGCTTGGTATAGTTTGGTAATCACTCTTTCATCATTTTAAAGGACATCAAAAAGGTATTAAAGCATTAAATGCTTTTTAACGCTACCCCCCAATCCCAAAAGTTTGTCCATTCCTCTCTGTGTTCATCCGCCCATCCGTGTATTTCCCGTCCATCCGTGCATAAAAATAATTAAATCTGTTAATACCATAATCTAAAAGACATAGAAATGTTTGCCCCCTTCCCACACTAGAGGTAAAGGTAGGGGTAACACATAATATGTCATGTTATGAAGCATGGTGTAAGGCACAAAAAAAATAGACAGAAGGAAGAAGATACATTTGCCTTGTGTCCATTGCTTTTGTGCCTCACACCATGCTTCATAAAGTTCACCAACTAGCCCAACTACAAGTTCCTCTTTAATATGTCATGGTTGCTTCACAGTGTTGTTGCACAGATTAAGTTCATAGATATTTTGTGCCTCAATTGCACGAACATTGTTGTGCATAGCAATCGTTAAAGAAAGCTCTGCCAAAGGCTAGTGCTCCAGCGGGAGTTGAATGCAAAGTCTGCGTCTTGTGGTTGCACATCCCAGCTTTGACCCTGCTATTTCGCACCTTCCCATTTCCTTCCAAGTATGGTATGTCCTTGTTCTGTTCCCCCTAGCCTTCTTCAAGCACTTTCACCACAAATGTGAATGTACTCACTTCCTTGTGAATCAAGGTGTCCGATAGCTTCCAAGTGTACAATTTCATGCCTTTGCATACTCATCGTACGTTTAGTTTTTTAGTGTTGACAAGTCAAATACAACAGCATATCCAAGTTTATTACTGTCTAATAGACACAATCAGTTTAGGGGATTTCAATGAGTTTCAACTCATTTTAGATGCCTTTAGGATTGCATATATCAAAAGGTAAGTGCTCTGACTTAGTTGTCAGAGCATTATTGTTATTTTATACCTACCAGGACTGGATACTGGAGACCAGTTGAACAGTTCACCCTTGTAAGGCACATTGTTGAACTGGCTGCACTGTACAGCACGGAAACTGGGGGCATCTTCAGCACAGCTCTGAAAAAAAAACTGCCATCTTAATTCAGGTAGAAGTCAATTAATTGTTGTATCTACCTTTTCCACCTTGGGAACTTCCTCAAGTAAATCATAAACCTATCTTATTATAATTTCTGTTTGGAAGGAAGAGAGGAGATACCATGCAGAAGAGCACAAGGGAAGTACAAGTTGTGCAGAAAACATACTTATTGACACTCTCTTTGTTCTTCATAACACTGACTCAAATGAAATGAGACAAACAGAAACCGTACCTGCGTGTTGCACATTCGGTAGCGCTTCCTCTCGCCGATGCAGTAGCGGCCCCCATATGCTGGCCTGCGTGAGCGGAACATCACTTTCAGCGTCATCCTTTGTAGTGGTAGGCAAATATTCTGAGTTTTCAAAAGTAGGTAGTTTCGAATAATAGCTAGGATATTCAATAGTATTCGCTTTGAGGTAAACTGAGGTATTCATACTTTTCGAAGTGTTGATCGTGGCAGGTCAGCTATGCTGATAGCGATTCTCAACAAGCAGCTGTGTACTGCAGGAAAGCAATACCCGTGGAGCTCGTGGGCTCCATGGGAGTTGCTTCCCCGCAAAGCAATACTCTTTTGTAATCGCGGCGGGGCCAAGTTTTAGGCAGCGATGCCTCAACAATCCACGTTCCTCATTCATGGTTGTTTGTATTTTTACGTTTTTTTTTTTTGTGCCAAATTTGAAATAGAAGAATACTATATTTTCATATTTGCATCTAGCAAGCAGGCATAAATATCCATTGATTAGGATAGCTGCGACAAATCTGTCGTTCATATGCCAATGTTCATAGGGTTTTATTAAAATTAACTGAGCTTAAAGTGGGCTAATGGAAGGTTGAGAAAAAACCTTCACGAGTTCAGCTGAATTTCCATTTAAGCATGATGCACGGTAGTGAAAGACAAACTATTTGATATTTGATTAGAAAATATTCGACCAAAACCACTCTTCGCTTCAAACTGCCTTTCATGCCTTTCATATCTCAAACATAGTCAGGAGGCCATGTTTTAAACAACTTCCCCTTAAAAAAATTGCTTGGTTTAGACATTCCATCACAAGCAATGTACTAGGTAGTGACAGCACTAGATGAGATTTCCAACAAGCAGCACTGTTTATCAAAATGATGCGCAATGTGGCACGTGGTGAAGGAATTGTGAATGCATAAAAGACTTTTTTTGTTCATTATTCATGAACCTCTTGTTTAGGGGCATTGCATCATTTCTTTGAAATGCCACCGTCCATACAATTTGACTCTGAAATGCTCTCCACGCACACCATATTATCTGGACTGTAGTTCCTGAATTATGCATTTTTAAAAGTTGAAATTTTATGCGGTGTGGACTATACAGGGATGTTTCTTCATTACTGTTCATGATGATGAGACGTGATGGCTTTTGTGAATGAGAGATTATGTTAACATTGATTTCTGTATGATGCAAGCTTGTTCACGCTCTAATAAAGCAGGCATTTTTCAAGGTGCATGGAATATGCACAAGGTGCACCGAGCGCAAACTATTTAAAGGAAAAGCTTTTCATTTTCAACTGAATTTTGCACCCTTGGACTATACACCAGGCGCGGACTGTAGTCCAGAAAATATGGTACTAAATTATCCTAATTTGATATGCAGTCCCTACCCTTCCTATGCAGCAGTGGGGGAGGGGGGGGAGATAGGAGAGTGTTAGTGCACTGCTAACACCCCCCCCTCCCCCCCCCCCCCCCCGTTGGTTGCACATGCCAGGACCTTATTGGCCATTGGCCAATAACATCCTGTCCTGTCATTGCTGGTACTCTCTCGTGACTACAGTGCAACCAAGACCAACATGAACAATCAAGGTCCATGCAGGGCTATCAATTTAAAAGATGGCAAAGCGTGTCGCAAACCTAGGGTGGTCACAGTGCCGCTCCGAGGACATGACGCCTGCTCCACAGCTACGCGAGCAATCGGACCAGTTGGACCAGGGGCCCCAGTGTCCGTCGATGGCTTCCGGCCGCTCGCCCATCTCAGTGCACTCGCCCAGGTAGCACCACTGCGCGCCATGGTCTACATTCATGACTTTGCCGGAAACATCCGTGCGACACATCTTTCAATGCAATGACTGTACATACGAACCCGGATATATCGAATTCAAAGGAGATTGTAAAATAGTTCGATATATTGATAATTTGATAAACAAAAATTTGTTAACTTAAGCTCCAGTTGAAATTTCTGCACGTCTTTGCTAATACCAAAGGGCGCAACGAACGGGACCTTACCAAATAGAGCATCTAAGAGCCACTAAGTACAGTTGAGCTTAGTTGGTGAAGACCACAAACACCGCGGCGTTTACGCGATGGTGTTTGGCCATGACAGCACCGGCAACAAAACACAAAAATAATTTTAAAAATGAAAAAAAAAAAAGGAAAAAGCAAGCCTCAAAAAAAAAGCTCGATCCATAGAATAAAGTTAAGCAACAAAAAACCTCACTAAATTCAAGCAGCAAAAAAAGAAAGGCAAAAAAAAAAAACGCCAAAGCCGAAGCTGCAAAAGAAAAGGGTAAACAAAAATAAGACTTTAAAAGTGTGATTGTGCTCAAACGTTGTTGTCAGCACACTCGACTTGACGAAGACTTTATTTTTTTTTGCTTATTTTACTTACCACATCTCGCGCATGCGTTCTGCACTCCTCATTTGAGAAACCGATAATAAGCATGAAAAGTAGCTTTCCAGTAAGTGCTTGCTTTGCCACAGGCTACAGCCAAACAATTTTGACAGCTCAAATGGGTGACTGCCAGGGCGAAGCCTTCCAGCTTCATAAAACATCCATCTGGAGGGCTAGACTTCGCGAGGGGCCAGAAATCCTGCTTATCCTCTCAGAAGAAGCCGATACAAAAGTCGACCTTCCCCCTCCTCGCCAAGCAATTAGACAAGAGGGAAGGGGAAAAAAGAGCCCGAGGAGGACTTTCCGCCAGGCGAAAGAATATTTTTGCAGGTCCCCCTTTGAGGAGTCGCGTAGCGACAACGGTGTTCAGGGGAAGAACACACACTGCCATTACAACAGCCAACACTCCCTGCTCTCTCTACGTGTGCGCGTGCCCTTCCCCTTACTTTTGGCATCCTCCACTTTTTTTTCCTCAATTTTTTCAGTTTTTTTTTTTTTTACAATTGCTTTTTTGCTGCATATGCTGGCTTGGCGGTCTGCCAGCCCCGCCCCGCGAGCTATGTGCTCGCAGCCGGCGCAATCCGACCGCGGGAGAAGCGACCGGCGGCTGTGCTCAGTTCGCTATAATGAGTGTCCCACCATGGGAGTTGGATACAAAAGGACAATGCTCCTATACTATTACATGTGATTTTCAAGAGGATGTTAGGACTGTTTGATATAAACAATAATTCGAAATACCCGGGTGTGATATAACTGGGCTCCACTGTATATTTGCAACTTTCACAGCTCACACCATTCCACTAAAAGCCCTGGATGCATGGCGCCATATTGTTTGACTGCAGTGCCATCTACATACATCCAGTCATTTCAATGGAATCATTCGAGTAAAAGAGGGAAAGCAGAGTCGTATATTGGGAGAGTCTGGCCAGTGGGTGTGGCGGCGAAGGTGCTGGGGAGGAGAAAAGTGGATGAGAGGGAGGAGAGCGCCGAAGGGGCGAGAGAAAGAAGGGAGCAAAGAAGAGACGAGTGCCATTCTGACGCAACACGCTTTCCGTACAGGGAACTGTTGAAGCTATGCGTCGTCTGCTATGGGCTGACTTCTTTTTTGCCCGAATAAAAGTTTGAGGTCAGACATCGAGAAAACTTCATTTGTTAGCTTTTTAAACAACCGAGGAATAACAGTATATCATTCTCTTGCCAGGGTCAGCGATATAAAGGAAGTAACCGAAATTTAGATGCCGATCCCATGCATTCCATCGGGCAAATGAATGAAAATGGCGGCTTTCCCCGCTCAGCTGCAAGTAGCAGGGAATTCATGAGCATGTGCTCACGCCTCTCGCTCTGCGCCGCGGGCCGATTGGCTCACTCAGGAGGGGGGTGTTACTGCAGCAAGATCATAAACTGGCCAAACCCTCCCCATATATGGCTCCGAGGGAAAGGACACGCGCCCCATCATAATAGTAGGCAAAGTGACCATCCCCCATAGGCATTTCAACCGATTTGGTGAAGTTGAAAAGAAAAAGGGTACATGCCATTCTCATCATTTGGGCAGTTCCAGTGGACTGTATTGCCGGAACTGTCCAAACGTAAAGGCTCATTTCTGTCTCCCGTCTCACACTAGTAGAACAGTCTATAAGGGTGCACTGGCATGCAGCAATCAAATTGGATGTCATCTGGATGAGTGACACAGAACAGCTGTGTGGGGTTTGGTCTCTGTGCGTAAGTAATACTCATTTTGTTAAATACGCGAGAAACTAGAGCCTTATCTCAAACGTTTATATCAGGAAAGTGTAAGCAAGCACAAGCGTTCTTATACTGAAGTCAATCATCCATGAACTAGGGAACGCAATTCTCCTTCATTCATTCCCCTTCATCGCTGAAAGTTGCAAATACTAGTGACCCATGTGAAATTCCTTTGTGGCATGAACCATTGTGTCCAATTCTTGTTCGTGTTAGCCCCGACAACAGCGGCACCCTTACGCGCTTTTTTTCTCTCGAACTCTACATCCCCCCCCCCCCACTTTCCGCTCCCCTAACCTAAAGCACTTTAGCTTCAGCTGCATCTTCACAAAGCTGAATAGCGGGATTTTTCTAAGGGCCTAAATAAGACAGATACCTAAAAAAATTAACTTTGCCCCACCCCCCCCCCGCCCCACCAAAAGAAAAGAAGCACAATATGTTGAAAGATGTGTACTGAGTTAAGAAGAATTTCTAAACTTGCTTCTGTTTCAATACATCAACACCAAGATGGAAGCACATATATGCTTTGGAATTGCTCAAACGAGTCTCGCTACAAAAATATTGCACTAAAAATTTATTTTCACTTTTGGGGGAAATGTTTTGTGACGTCCATGTCCTTTTAAGGGACGCACAAGAATCATTACAGAAAGGTAGGGAGGGCGGGAAGCCAATTTGGAAAAAGAATGCATGTGAACCATGGCACACAAAAGAAGCAAAACAACCAGAAAGATTTCAGATGCCATCCCTTCCCCTTAAACTATATGACAAAAAAATTTCCCATATACATATTTGTTGGTGAGATGTTGCCAAAAACTCTTCATTAAATAAAATAGAATGAAGCATTCATACAAAAATCACTTAGCATAAACATCAAGAACTCTGAAAGATGCTACCAATGCTGCTTTGAAATAAATAATTTAGTAGCATCAAATCAAAGGAATTTATTGCCAAAGTATAGAAGCCCTTTTCTTTTTCTACAGAAACAAAACTTGGCTTGTTTCAGTGTCAGAAAAATGGACGGAATGACACAAACTATCAGAATTACATCAGAAATGTATGTCAAATCGTGTGAACTGTTTAATATGTGTTTACTTTAATGTATTTTAATATCACCTCAAACCATTCTTTCTCTGCCCCTTTATTTCTGACTACACTCCAACGAATATTCTATCAGGCTTCAGACCAGCTGTTGAACCCAACGCTGTACCGGCCGGAGATCCATAGGCCAGCGCCTCACACCCAAACAAGTAATCTAAGGACAGTATAGGCAGTGGCTGTACCTTGTTCTTGTCGCAGACGGTCCCCTGAGCAGCAGGCTCCATCTTGGTGACGCACTTGCTCCCCAGGCGGCACCACAGCGTCCGGCACACTTCCTGGCACGAGCGCAAACTGCTGTCATGTGACCCCACCCACAAGCATTCCTCATGGGTTGCTAGGCAATTCCTCAAAGCACTACTCATGGGTTCCTTAGGGGTTCCTCAAAACATCCCTCATGGGACCCTCAGGAGTCCTTCAGGAATTCTTCAAAGCACCCCTCATAGGTTCCTCAGGGGTTCCTCAAAGCACCCCTCAAGGGTCCCTCTTGGGTTCCCCAAAGCACCCTCATGAGTTCCTCAAACTAATTCTCATTGGTTTTCCAAGGTCTTAAATCTAGCTGTTTCTTCCCCTAACTAAAGCGGTTTTTTTTTAATGCGATAGCATTATTAAGTTACTCACCTCAGTTTTCTGTCTATGTATGTCGCCTCTAATGTAGTCAATTTTCCGTTAAATATAGCAGAAAATTGACTTCACGTGGCCAATGCATCAATTCAGGTTCCCCGCTAAACTTAGGGAAAAATTGACGTCACGTGACCTATGCACCAATCCAGGTTGCTAAATTTTGCGGAAAAATTGACGAATTCAGTTTGCCTGCTAAATTTAGCAAAAAAATTGACTTCACGTGACCTATATCCAGTTTAGGTTCCCTGCTACATTTAGAGGAAAAATTGACTTCACGTGACGTATGCACTAATTCAGGTTCGTCGCTAAATTTAGCAAAAGGTTGACTTCTTGTGAATTCTGCACCAATATAGGTTCCCTGCTAAATTTAGTGGAATCAGGCTTCCAGCTAAACTTGGCAGAAAATTTATGTCCCTTGACCTATGCACCAATTCAGGTTCCCCGCTAAATTTAGTGGGGAACCGAACACCTGTCCATATGTGCAAAGATAAAGGCTAATATAGATAACCACACCTACGGTTTCTACATATTTTCCTCCGCCATCAATTTTCTTTTTAGACTGAACACAATTTTAGCAGATCTGAGTCACATGCACTCATGCAGGCCTGTGGGCTACTCAACCGCTTTATTGAATTAATCCTGCCACCAGGAGGGGCTCTTTATTTGCCATTTAGGCAAATAGAGGTTCCCCAAGATTAAAAAGTTTGAAAGCCCTTCATTTATAGGATCAAAAATAAAGACACTATGGTGATGATCTGATGATGATGATGAAGGTAATGATGACGCGGGAATGCAACGAACAAGCTCTCACCTCAATGCCATCGCAGTGCTCTGCAGCGGGGCCGTACTGCAGTCTGCACTGGTGGTCGGCGTCGTACATTGCTCCCGGTGGAAGCAGGGGGAATGTGAACTGGTGCGCTCGCGGTTCGTCATCCAGGCAACTGCCCCAGTCGCGACTGCGCAGATGCAAACATGTCGCAGAAAACGAAACAAAGCTCGCTATTTTCTCGCAACATTGAAGACCATATAGTCCAGGGGTACATGAAAAGATTTCCTGGATTTTGCTAAATACTGTTAAGAAAAAATCCTTGATTCTTATAATAAAGAAATTGTCCACGTTACCTTGTTGTGTTTGTTTTATATTTTCAGTAGCAGTCTGAGAAGACATTGGAGAAAACAGAGCCACATTCAGCTCAACTTGCAGCAAGGACGAGCAGCCCTGTGGTCTGGCATCCTAATAATTCTCCACCAATGTTCACTTTAGTCAGGTGTGCAAGAATTGTCAATACTGCAATCCAATATTCGTTCACTATATTAATTTGGTAGCTTCTTCTATCAATTGGCACATTGTTTGCAAACAAATTGCATTTGCCCACGCCAGGTGTGGGTGCTGTGCTTGCACGGAGACCAGATTTGTATGAAGTGAACATCTGCGCACGCGCCGTGCCGACAATAGCACCACCGCAGCAGTTTGGCATCAAGGTCGCATGTTGGTGTATACTACAAACTAGAGCACAGAGTTATGACCTTGCAACCGTAGCCTCCACTATGCTCAGAGATAAGAAAAGATGCAGCAGAGCTCTGCACTTTGCTGCAGCATGCATCAAGGTTGAGTCTCAAACCAAGAGACCACCTTCAAAAGTAAAGTGAAAAGTTCCAATCACACTAAACAACGGCTGAATATGCAAGTCTAAAACTAGATATGATGACGACCATCAATTCTTGGTGCCATGCATAGGATAGCCACTTTGACCCCGTCTTTCGTAGCTGCATGGCATTGTGCATGATTTCTAGCCCTTCCAATAAAGGACAAACTGTCAAAAGTGATCTGTAGACCAATCATTAAACACAAAGCCTTCCAAAGCTTCCTTTCCATCGAGCCAATTGATTGAATGATCAGTATACACAAAAGCCTCCCAACTGAGCCAATCGATGGGATGATCGATAAATACAGATGTTTCTAGACGAGCAATTGACTGAACGAACCATATATATATGGAAGCCTCCAAACATGGTTCTCTGTCCGACGTACTCAAGAAACCTGGTGATCTCCTCACGGCTGCAATTGGACCAAACCAGCGGCGACGGGTCCGAGCTCAGGTGAGGGGCCATCACGTGCTGGCGGAGACCGGCCGGTGCCTGGCAGCCGTTGTGCGGACCATCGTGGCTCATCCCAAAACTGTAGAGAGAAAACACGGACCGCCTGTCATGCATGCCGGCACACGGGAAACGCCTATGTCATTCACAAGGGCTATTTGTAGCAGAAGCTCCCGGCTGATTTGAAGGTTTCAGCCATATTAATCCATCCATCGTCTCAAAATCTGAGCGTTTCCAGAAAAGTCAATTGCAAACTATGACCAGCTCGAGAAATCGCCTGGCTTGGAAATCCCATCAAATACTTTAAAGGAATGAGATAACAGCAGCAGTTATGTGTGTGCAGAATGCACCACAGCAGAAATTGTTTGTTTGAGAGAAATCCATTTGACAAAATGGAGTAGCTAGGTTTGGTATCTGTTTTTTTTTTATGTAAAAACGTGCAACTGCATGCAAAAGGAAATGCAGAACAGAATTGTTGTATTTGGTTTGAGCGTCCTTTGCAAGGAAAGACATACCAAAATGGTGGGCTCACTGGACAGATTTTCGAAAAGAATAGCCAATACTAACATGTTATTGTTTCTGTAACAAACTTCCGAAAATCACCTTTTTACATTTTGATACCCTGGCATCTTGACCAAGCCACGTCGCAGAAGCTAGCTTCCACTTCAATTACAAAAAGAGGAAGCTAAAGCGCGTAACCAGCCAGACCAGGAGCCAATGGGCTTTTCCTATCACGCAAGTTCACAAGGAGAAGCATCCTTCCCAGGCAGAGCTGACCGACTGTTCATTTTTTTTCATGACCATCGCCGTTTTTGCCTGCTAAAGGGTATGGAGGAAAATCTTAATTTTTGTTCTGTGTATGACCAACATTAACTGTCTAAATGAAAAGAGTCACCGTCGCATGGTAAAGACATACCTACCTTATTGTAACAAAAAAGATGGCTAATGAAAGGCATTCCTTTCCATTTCTCAAATATTCAAGTCTATAAGGTCACTAGGACAAGCAAGTTAGTCACTTAACGGATTATTAAACTCTAAAAGAAAAACATTTCTTAAGACCTTGAATAGTAACGTATGTCACAAATAAGTCACTCTACCCAAAAAAAAAAAAAAAAATTATAAAGCAATATTTGCAAGAAACCTTACGAGTTAGAAGCGTTCCGAGATGTGCTTCTGCTTCAAGACATCAACCCAAAAATCCATGTGTCAGAATCGCTCAAAAGAGTCTCGCAACAAAAATATGCTAGAAATGTTTTTCTTCTGGAAAAGTTTGTTAGAGTTTTTCCAAACCACGTGACCCCAACCAAACAGTTCAATGCTCTCCCATTCGGGAATTTCTCGGAGCTTACAAAGACGTATGGCATCTTCTCACTTGTGTCCCATCTCGTGGGCGATGGTGTAGGCAAGGGTGAGGCCGGAGTCCTGGTTGACGTTGCAGCTCCGCTGTGGCTGGCACATGCCGGCCACCTCAGCCAATCCCAGCGTGGAGCAGAGCTCTAGGCCTGGAGCACACATGTTGAACCTGGGCAAACCACGTGTTGGAGTTGATCGTCAGTGACGGTGCAGCAGCCCGAGTCTCTTGGGGCACTCGGTTTACAATCTTGGCGATGCAAGGGATTGACCCATTTTGGACGGTCACTCGGGAAGAAGAGTTTGAGTAGAAGTTCACTGACAAGGTGTTGCAGATTGGAAAAAATTTGACGCTCACGAGAAAACGACGAAAAGAAAGAAGTTTGGAGACACAAGCGGAACGAGGCGAATGACGGACAGAAGCCGATCAAGACACTTCTGTGTAATGATGTGTATTCAATTGATTTATTAGTGTAAATACAGTTTGCGTTTTGTTTTTACGTCGATTGCCCGATTTAAATACGACCCCCACACAACATCTTCAATTCTGAAACACAAGGCGCCTACATTTTTACTGAAATTTGACCTATAGCCCAGCTATGAGATAAAAATATTCTAAGCTTAACGTTATAAAGGTTTTTTTTTTTTCCTGCGAGAAAACAGCAGGCAGAACTGCGTAAATCTGCCAATAAAAACATACTCCAAATTTATATATTCTAATAATACTTGAAAAGGTAATTTTTTTTTTTATGCTGAATGTGTTTGGGGGTAATGTTTCATTAAACAAATATCAAAGAAAGTCAAATGCATAACTGTAACACATAATTTTCACCCTAAGTGTGGAAATTGATTTGGTGCATAATTATTTAATTTATTTATTTATTGTGCCTACCAACAGTCATGGGCCTATAACGGCAGTGCACGAAAAAATATTCAGAACATAATGCTGCAAAAACAGACTATATAACAAGAGTGGAATGCTCCTCTTGAATGACAAGCAGTCATCACTGAAAATGTCAACAAACGATGTGTCAATATGATTAAAGAAATTCTGAATGCAAACTATACTCCATTCACCCCTGGGCTGAGACTGCATTGGGAGCTACAACCCCGCGGGATCAATCAGCCATTTCCCTCTTATCACCTGACCCAGCTCTCTGCGCTTGGGTATGGGCGGGACTAAGGCAGGAGCATGATGACGTGGTTAAAGAGAGGCGCATGACTGGTTCAACGAGGAAGTAGCTTCCACAGCAGTCTCAGTTTAGAAGCGAATAGAGTATAGTGGGGTCAAACAATACATAGGGTTAATGGCAAGTGTGCAATTCCAGTGAAAATGTCTCAAAGGAACGTTAATCTGGATATGCCATTTTGGCTCTTTCTTGCTAAGTTTCGTGGGGTAATGTTTCCCGCTAATTTTCTTATACAATAATGGCTTATACGATAAGGAATCCATTACTTATAACTACATTACATCAGAACTCAAGTAAATGGAACTTAATTATTCTTCAGGACTAACTTTTACACCTCCGACTCCAGGTGTAGACAAAAAGCATAGGTCTCCTGCAATGCCACCTAAAGTTAAAAGTTAAAGCCACTCCCACAGCACAAAGGCAGCAGTCACCTGGTGACAAGAATGGCTAGGTCGTGGTGATTCGGGTGACTCTCGTCGGACGGGTTCACGAACCGCTGCCACCGGCAAAAGCTCTTTAGCGTCCCGTCCGCTGACTCGTCCACCTGAAGTTGGTCGATATCCTCCGCTGGTGGAACTTGACCCTCCTGTTTGAGGAAACGCTTTCTTTATTAATGATATTAGTAATCTAGTCACTGTAACAGTAATAGTCTTTAATCACAAATGCAGTTTCTGTAAATTACCGGGGAAGCACCCACCCCACTTTCATTGCAAACTGGGTTAATCTAGACATGGACGCTTCTCCGGACAAATCGGTAGAAGCAAGATGGCGACCAATGAAGAGCTTTGAAGGCAAGGTGAACGTAATCAGAGGAAGCACACTTATTTTCACATGATATCCCCGTCGTCGCTGCTGGCGGTCTTGTGGCCACCGCAACGAGGTGAGTATTTTTGGCTGATGCCGGTGCTTAGAGGGGATGGGCGCTTAACATATAATTTGCAGAATTCCAAAGTTGCTCAAAGTGGGCACTTCCGCGTTATTTTATAGGTACATGAAGTCTGATCATAGCCAGGGGGGCTTCTGGAACCAGACCCAGCAGTAATAGTAATATTCATAATTATTGTTATATTAATAACCAGTAGCATAACAATGGAGGGGGGGGGGGGGGGCCTGGGGGGCACTGGGCCACGGGTACAAGGCATCCCAGTCGCGTGGGGGGGTGCCACCTCTCACCCCCTTACCCCCCCTACTTGACTGAGTGGTTGGAGGGTGAATGGGGGGGGGCTACAAAAGACAAAGGCCCCGAGTACTAAATGGCCTAGCTACGCCACTGATAATAACAATAATTCTGCTTAATTTCCATCATGTTCAACATATGCCAAATGGCTTAATTATCAACCATGTTAATTTTCTTTTTAACACACTTCAATTCACGCTCGTTGCTCAGGTGGCTGACCAATTGTCGAGCATGTTTGGGATAACCTTGCAAACTTTAAGCGGTACTAATAGGTATTACAATCGCATGCATGTCCAGCTTGTCGTGACAAGTGTGCACTAACCTGAGCAGCCTCTGGCTCAAGCAGGATCATCCTGACCAGGACCACATTGATGGCGTTTCCGATGCTCGCGTCGTGGAATAGTGTCGACACCTGAGAGACCAAGGAGGAGAGAGGTGGCATTTTTTTTAATAATGCGTCACCAAAGCAGATTGTGAACATCCGAGAAAAGTGTCAATATGACGAGACCTCGAAGGTAAGAACTCATCAGTTTCTGGTAAAAATATAAACAGGTCTTAACCCATGGCCTCTCACACTGGCAAATCTTGAGGAACCCTTATCTCTCTTGACTGACAGCTGAGAAACCCGTCTCTCTCTTGACTGACAGCTGAGAAACCCATCTCTCTCTTGACTGACAACCCCAGAAACCCTTTCCTCTCTTGACTGACAGCCAAAAACCATTCTCTCTCTCTCTCTCTCACTAGACCGACAGCCAAGTAACCCTTCTCTCTTAACTGAGAGCCGAGAAACCCTTCTCTCTCTGGTGAGTGATACAATAAAGCAGTGCAGAAGCCTACAGGCCCTCTAAACAATATTTTACATACTAGAGAGTGATTGCATGGCTGACAATTTTGCATCAGTGAGTGGCTCAGATCTTTTAAAATAGTGCTTAAACAGGAAAGACGCTTTACTTGGGGGCAGAGACGGTCGATGAAATTTGGGAGCTGGGGAACCCATGAGGGTACTCTTGGGAACCCCTGGGCTCCTAGGAACCCAGTTTAATTGGGAACTCATGCTGTAAATAAGGTTATATTCACAAGCTTTAATATTTTGCAAATGTGCCAAAATGTTGCTCTTGAGAATATATCACTAGCGAAATTTCGCAATGAGGAGCGAGTTTCTTGACGAACAAAAAAAAGAGTTATATTGAGGTTGAGGTACACAAAATAACATCAGTCGTTCTGAATGTATATGATGAAGGCACTTTGGTTTACGGGGAAGTGGAGATTATATTTGTAGCTCAGTTACCTATTATTAGAAACTTCAGTTGGGTGTTACCCCTTAATAACATCCAGTAAAATGCATCGCTCAATCAGAAAAATCCTGAACGCTTCAAAAAGCCAGAAAGTTCACTTCCTTAATTAGAGGGTCAAATTAGGGTTCAGACATAGTTTTGGAGAAGCATCAGAAAAAAAATCTACTATTTTATTGTTTGGTATAAGTTTGAACCCAGTGTATAGTCTACCAAAGTAAATCTAGTACAAAGAAAACATTTTTTCCTTACATAGTTTGCACCTCGTGCACGTACGCATGTAAAAAATTATCACACACAGCACAACTTGACAAATGCCAACTTCATTAGCTTAAAAAGAAGCTTGTACCATACATAGATCACTAACATATTCTGTCATTCATAAAATCCCTCACGTCTTGTCATAATAAACAATCTAGAAAAGCAACAAATCCCTGTATCGTCCACATCTGTACGCAGTACGCACCATGTAAAATTTTAACTTTTAGACATTCATTGCCTGCGGACTACCAGCCCCGAAAATACGGTACACATGAAGTCTGCCTTTATGGGTACGCAACTGATAACTTTGAGGCACAAGCATGCTGACCCACCATGTTGAGAACGGTGAGCAGATAGGTCTGCAAGTCTTCGTTGGAGTAGTACTCCACCATAGTGCGATCAGCCACCAGCAGTGTCTCCACATTGCGCTCCAGACTAACCGACCGCTTCACTCGAGGGCCGCCACCAGAGGGTGCATCAGGTACAACACTAGGATGTGGAGCCGTGCCTGCATGATTGTACAGGGCAAACAAAAAACCACATCAAGAGCTGCCCTACAAGGCAGTTTCATGAAACGCCTTTTCACTTTCGGTAAGCCGCATTTAACCACATTGAGCGGCTGCCACTTTCCCCATTACTCTGCATGCAGATGCTTAGTTAGTGATATTGCTTCTGGTCTTGGTGAAACATATAATTTTGTGTGGCTCTGTATAAAACAAAATGGGAAAGCTTAATGAATGCACTGGTGCAAACTACTTGCACTGGTGCCAAGCGGTGAAGCTTGATGTGCGCACCTGTGCCAAGTGGCGAAGTTCGACGCACATGCCAGCACCAAGCGGCGGAGCTCGACACGCGTGCCAGCACCAAGCGATGAAGCTTGATGTGCAAGCCGCACCAAGCAGTGAAGCTCGACGCGTGCTTCGACGCCAAGCGGCGAAGATCGATGCGTGAACCGGTGCCAAGCACCAAAGCTCGATGCGTGTACCGGTGCCAAGCAATGAAGCTCAAGGTGCAAGCTGGTGCCAAGCGGTGATGCTCGACGCGCGCGCCGGTGTTAAGTGGCGAAGCTTGACGCACGCACCGGTGCGAAGCAAAGAAGCTTCATGTGCGCGCCAGTGCTAAGCGGTGAAGCTCAACGCGCGCACCGGTGCCAAGTGGTGAAGCTTGACGCGTGCACCGGTGCCAAGCGGTAAAGCTCGACATGCACGTCAGTGTCAAGCAGTGAAGCTCGACACACGCGCCGGTGCCAAGTGGCAAAGCTTGACGCGCGCACCAATGCAAAGCTAGGCAAATGCGCCGATGCTAAGCGGTGAAGGCCAATATGCACATTTGTATTTGAATGTGTTTGAGTGCAATGCGGCGTCCTTGCGGCCAGGAGCAGTTGCTTGCGGCACGACGTGCGCCGTCCCGCAAGGCTTGGTAGCACGACACAAGGAAGTAGAGATTTGCTCAACTTTCCGAAGCGTTGCAATGCGTTCAGCCAATCAGAAGCCTACAAGGGAGACTAGGGTCACGACTTCACTCGCGCCACTTGGCGAGGCGTATCCGGTTCTTTGCTCGAAGAACTTGCTTTTTCATTTTGGGTAGGGGTGGGGACTGCTTTTTCCAAGGCTGCGGGGAAGCCAGCGGGATTGTCCCAAAACCGAACACTTCAATGCTGTCGTTGGGCGCCGCCATGTTGCCATGGATTTTGCTGACTATAGGTGAGCCGCTAGCGACGATCGTGCGTTCTTATTGGCTCTTGACTGCAGTTGAGTGCGCGACAACGCAACTGTGTGAACAAGCTTGGCGCAAGCACTTTTCGTAACGCAACACGTCCCCTTGTCGCTACGGAACGCACCGTGCTCAAATGCAAATGTGCGTAGGAGCCTTGAAGCTCGACGCGCATCGGTGCGCGTCGAGCTTCACCACTAGGCACTGGTGCGGGCGTTGAGCTTCGTCGCTTGACCCTAATGTGCACGTTGAGCTTCGCCTCTTGACACCAGCACGCCTGTCGAGCTTCATCGCTTGGCATCGGCCCACGCGTCGAGCATCGCCGCTTGCCACTGGCGCGCACGTCGAGCTTCACCACTTAACGCCAACGCGTGCGTCGAGGTTTGCCATTTGGCACCAACGACTGCATTGAGCTTAAACGTTTTTGTAGAGGCACTTTCTTTTACATAAAATTGTTGCTGTTATCCTGTGGCTAATCCCACTAAAACAATAAAAACAATTTGTGTCAATTGACAACACCAAGTAAAAGATTTGGCAATTCAAGCAGTCTATTCCACCATACCATATTACAAGCATGGTTTTGTTGGTGTTTTATTTTGTGGCCAGTTATTGATTATAGGCAGTAACAACAGAAAAACATTTAAGAGTTGTTGCACTCCGACTTTTTTTTATTAATGATTAAGCGTAAAAAGGTTTCTTGTTGCTTGATGCTCTGATGAGACGAAGCCCATAGACTTAAGTTTAGGAGACTAGCTGATACGAGCGATTTAAAGGGGCGGTGCAACAATATTCAATTGGAATGTTTTTCACTTTACATGAGCTTACTGGCACTAGTGAAACTCGAGAATACTAGCACACAACGCCATTAGCCAAGGAGCTCCTTTGTTACGGTGTAATTTCAAGGAAAAAGTGAGCTTTTCATTAAATCTCTTCTTCGCAAAACTTGATGACATAGCCGGGCGGTTGCAGTACCGCCCCGTGACTATAGTTGAATGCAGCTCATAGATTGAACCTGAGCATTGCGTGGGCACTCCATTTGGGCTCGTGATAATTGATAACTCGAGAAGCATTTGGGAAGGCGAATGACAACAATAGCCAAACCATAACAATGTCTAGAACTCAGCATGTGTCCTGTGCCCTGCCAACTCCAGAGCATGGCTATGATAAACGTTGGTGGCATATAATCGGCTCCAGATAACGTGGCCGTTTGTTCTGGCTGTGAGTTGAGGGAGCGAACGCTGCTCGCTTTTCTTAAATTTTTTTTCGTTGACTTTGATTGTGTGTGGTCAAAAACGAACAGGTGTTTCACAGGTCATTAACGTCAGGGATCCGTTCTAAGCGGTATTTGAGCAAAGTACAAAAATCTTTGCATCGCCTCTTTAAATGCGCATCAAAAAAGGATCTAGCACCCTGTGTGGCGCAGAAGTGGTCCTCCCCAATGTGCCCTCCGGGCGGATTGTCCAGTAGCGCTGAACGTTTGTAGACTAGATGCGGCTGTGGCCCGTGACCTTGAGCAGGAGCCAATGGCTCCACCAGGTAATCTTCCCGGTCGGTCCGCACAAAACCAGCCTGAAAAGTAAAGGCAGGTTCACACGCTTGCGATAGCTGGCGCCATCTATCGGATAGATGGAAAACAATTAATTTCCGTATATTTCCTTTTTTTTCGCGCATGATTCTTATGGATAGTATGTACATTTGATCTCACAAGTAACTGCAAAGCCTTCGTTTATGTAAAATGCAGTTCCAGGGTCCCTCTACAGGTGGTGCCAGCATACGTGTGATCTCTGGAGCTGGAGATGTGTAATTCACATCTCCAGCTTGTTGCTCGCCCTCCCGCTGCCGAAACGGGAAGCGCTCTAGTTCTCCCGCTCAGCGGGCACGGCGGAACTGCTCGCAATCATGGCTCGCGAAATGTAATTTTTGAATGCAAACAACGCTCTCCACTGTTCCAATGTAGTGGTGCAGCCGGTATGGGATTCTACCTTATTAGAGAGTTTTAGTATTGCGTAAAGAAACAAACGCTGTGCGTTTGCATTAAAGTTGCACCCTCCACGCTGTGGATGCGCGTCGTCGCCATGCTCCAATTCAAGACTGCAATTTGGAGCTCTGCGCACCCACAGCGTGGAACACGCAAACACACAGTGTTTGCGTTTGCCTGTATATGCAATACTAAAACTTACTACTCTTCAGTGTTGCGGAATGGGCACTCCCATTCCATTCCAATTCCATTCCGGGAAATTAGAGTTTTCGATAATTCCATTCCTTTCAACTCCTAGGAATGGGGACACTGGGCCCATTCCCACTCCTGGAATGGCTGAGTCGCTCCACTCCATTCCTCCAATTCCTGAACGTTAAAAGTGTCACTTGACAGCTGCATTACGTTGCAGGGTTGGGCAGAAATATTCAGAAATGTATTTGGAAATACAAATACTGGGATAGATGAAAATAGTTGCTAAGATACTGATACTCAAGTCTCAAATATATCTATAAAAATGTATTGTGATACGTATCAGAAATACATTTTAAAAAGAGGCAAAAAGTCTGGAAATACAAATACAAGAATACATTTTAGGGAGGGCAGAAATATAGATACTGATAATACCATACATTTTTCAAATTTCTTTGAGACGCCAAATGAGGCTTTAAGTTTGAAGTGAAAGTTTCTTTTTTCTTTTTGGTCTCGAAATTACTTTTCCGCAGGCTTGGCACTTCGCCTTGAAGGTAGTGGTTCCGGACGAAGAGTCCTAAATGTGTTTAAAAAACGTTCCATCAAGGATTGACCACGGTCCCTTCCCTGGCATCCTCTCTGACAGACCAGTGATGCGAAAAGACTTCGACCTCTAAAATAAATTCTATCAAAACATCACCACTTCCCTGTCCAATAAGGGCGCCCCTGTCAGCACTGATCACATGACGTCACGGTGGGATGAACTAGTATTCTTGAATCTGTAACTGTTGCCTTGAACATGAAACTTTACCCACGCTGCTGTATGACATGGCAATACATACTTTCGTTGTAGCTGACCTCGTTGAAGACCATGCAGGCAGTTGCATTGGGAATTTTCGAGAAAAGTGGACCACCTGAAGCATCCTGAAGCACATGTATTATCTTCTGTTACGGTTGAAAAATCGATGCAGTGGCATCCCTGTTATGACGGTCCTTCCTGCCGACTCTCCGCCTCCAACGCATGAATGGCAGTCTTCAAGTTTCGCCTAGCATCATTCAAACAGAGACCTCGTGGATTGCGACCTGATATTGCCGGCACAGGTGCGAGCTCTTCGAGAAACAGCGCACTCGAGACGAGTCGAAAGTGTACAAAGTCTGGGTCTGCACAGCGAGACCACGTCTGGCCTCCTTCCTGGGAATCGGATCACCAGAGCAGCAGGTCACGTTCATGTCGGCTGATGACGTACCCTTGAGCCGTGCAATATTACAGGCGCAAACGCAATCAGATATGTGTTGAACTTCACTGGTGAAAGGCGCCACCGCCGCCTCCTCCCCCCCTCCCACTCTGTTCTTTGCTTTGACGCTTGTTTTTTGTATTGCATTTTTTTCTTTTGCGCATAAGTCTGGTAGGGCCTTACGCGGGTTCGCAGTTTCCTGCTCATTTTATTTCTGAACAACCGACTCCCTGACTGGCTCGGTATAGCTGAACGTAAAAAATAAATAAATAAATAAATAAAATATAAAAAACCTGGCCCATTCCATTCCGGGCAAAAGGCATCTAATTCCATTCCCATTCCATTCCCCTCACCGTTGCCGCCATTCCATTCCCATTCCATTCCGGGGTCACGAAAATGCGGAAGGATTCCGGAATCTTTCCAACTCCGGAGTGGCAATTCCGCAACAGTGCTACTGTTTCACCAGTTTCCAAGCCAACGTAACATGCTGCAGTGAGCAGACGTGCAAACGGGTAGGCGTTCCTTCGAACTGGAGAAGCTGAAATAGGCAAAACCATGACGCGTAAAAATTGAAGAAAATTAATGTTCTAAAAAAACTTTTAATAAAAACTTCTTTTTTTTTGCATTTGGTCTGGAAGGATTGGTGGCAACTTCGGAAGTTTTGCCGATTGTCAGAACTCATGAGTTTGATAGCACCATATCTGTTACCAACAATTAATATAATTTTACATGAATTTATTTAATTAGGTAGAAATTTTTTATTGATTTTAGACTTTTTATTTTATAACTTGTTAATTAAAAATGCTGCAATAGGCCCCAGTGATGATAACTCAGACTTTTGATTGCCATACTTGTTTGTGCATTTGAAATTAGATCACGAGCAACAAATTATACTGGTACTTCAAAAACTATGTATTAAAATATGTTAACTGTATTATTAGTATTATTCCGAATTGCGGCAATGTAGGCCTCCAATAAATACCACGATCACAAAAGTATGCCATTTAAACATAATAGTCTTTTGAGAAAGGTCCTATTTTGTTTTCTTTTTAGCACATGAAAAACTCTGAAATCATTATCGAGATAGACAAACAGTCAAACACTGGATGTAATATAAAGTCCTATGCATCACGCATTGCTTTGAAATAACACACACACTTCTGCTGTCTGACTTGGATTCCGTCTTTAGGTATTTGTAGAGGAAACAGCGTTTCTTAATTTATATGTTTTGGGAACATATTCTGAACTTATTGTCTGTGGGGATATTTTGTAAAATTTTGATTCTGTTATTCTTGTGCTGAGAATATTGTTAAAGCAATTAATCATCTAAATACCCCAAAACCCATTAAAAGGCCCGCCGTTCATTATTTCAGATGATAATTAACTGAGTGAGAAAAGGCAGCAAGAACACAAATACCAGCACTGAATTTTTTTTAAACAAATCCAATATTCTATGCTATTTTTCATATGTATAAAAGACCCGGTTTTTAAAAGGACACTGAACTCTTCAAAATATTCTGAAGTGCCTGGATCGGACACGTATGTCACAAAATAAAGTTTCTGCAAACTTTTTACGCTGTGGAGACACATCTTGAGTTATGAGAGAGTCCGAAATTAACAAGTATACCCAGAAATTAAATTCAAAATAGAGGTTAGTTATGGTTTTGCTCCAAAATTAAAACACGCCTCCTGCCGTAATTATTATGCTAAACACCGTTTTTGTTTTAAGGATAATGAGGCGACCTGCGTTCATAATACCCCATCTTCCTCGTATACGCAGAAATAATTTGTTTTGCTTAGTGAACCCAGAACACTAGACATGCTCAGCAACTGGTATACTGGCAAGCATCTCCAGCCTTCACTATAACCGCCATTTTGGGAAACGAGTGGCGCCACCTATAGTGAATTGGAGTCGCATATATCGGGGTCACGTGGTTTTTGGGTCACACTGGCAACACGAGGTGCGAGGGGGTGACAAAAGCGTTGGTAGTCTGCAAACCTTTCAGTTTTTCCATCCATATTTGTCCTCGCGACATGACAACGCAATATGTGCACACTTGCGATCAATCTTTGCGAGAGCCGTTCCCCATTGAAAATTGCAAACGCTCCCCAATGTTTGAGTCTGGACTTACCCTACAATCTGGGCTCTTGAGCATTCCCTTGTATAAGAGATCACAAGAACTCGGTTGTTAAGCAAACACAAGTGTGTGAAAGGGCCTTTAGGCAACAAAAACTGTTGCGGTCTAAGATCTAATCTCAACTATTCGACCCACTTTAGAAGGGGAATTCCTGCGAAATTTCGATAGTCGCTGATTCTGATTCAATGCTGTTCAAAATTAATTCAAAACATTAAGACGCATCTGAGCTATACCTGGGGACAACTTTTTCTGGCATTTCCGAAGAAATGAAAACCGCGCAGGCACAGCTGTGATCGGCACTCAATGTGCGCAAGTGCACGGGTACCCCTAGCTTTGGTTTTGTTGCCAAGAAAAGTTGTCCCCAAGTGTAATAACCCAAATGACAAGTCACAACATTCTTTTTTTCCTCTCGCAGTTATTTGTGCCAGTTAGAGCAACAGGTAACACCAAAGCTCCTCTCTGTGTAGAAAAGTAACGATATGCTTTGAAGAACGCCCCTTGCTATCTTCGGACAATCATGATGGCGGACGATTACGGGAGAGAAAAAGGAAAAGGTAAATACAAAAAGAGTGTGTGCAGCAGCTGAGGAGGAGGAGACGGAGCGCATTGGTGCCCGTCACTGAAAATGTCGAGAATGTTCTCATTTTTTGTTTACAGGAATAGATCTACGTCTTAAAACTTAATTCAGTAAAACCTAACCTTAAAATGCCTGTTTGATGAAATTTTGAGCTAGTTACATGCATGCACCAATTTTTTTGTCTCATTTTAGTGAGCCCTTTGATTCATAACACCCTGTACTTTAACCATTTTCATTTTCTTGCAAAGACGATTGCTTAGAAAATAGAAAAAATCTCACTGACCAGTCCTTTGCACGTTGACAAGGCTGCAGATCCATTTCCGTTTCGTAGAGATCCCCTGTAGTAGCAACCCGGGTCCGAGACACGAGTCAGGTTTCTCGTGGTGTAGCCGACAGGATCCAATTCGTAGCCGAGACGGTGTTCGAGCACAAAGCCCGGAGCCAGAAGATTATCATTTCGATCCAATCGAAGTAATAGGTCTGTTTCCGAACCCGGCAGAGGCAGACGAAAGTGGAGTCCGGATTCCAACTCCGGGTTGTCGGCAGATCGTCTGCGGCGCCGCCGTCGTCTGTCAAAGGCTTTGAGTCCTTCGTGATGGACCGCGTGGCTAAGAAAGCGTCCCGATGATGTCACCCTCTGTGGAAGCACGACCGCTGAACTGCCTGCCGGCAATGCGTGAAGGGTGTCTGCAATATAAAAAACAGCCTGCAATTAACATTTTTCCACTGAGTTGGTGTGCATGCATGAGCTCTCCTGCCGCGTAGCGAAGGAGGCTCGAACTTGTTTCGGAGGAAAGAGGGACAGGAGAAATAGCAGACTACACTAGTGTCGAAGCATGTTCTACATATGCGCAGGCCTTGGTGTCTTCTGCTGTTAAATTTATCCTCTAGAGTGGAGACGCCCATTGAGGCTCACTAACTTACCGCAATATATAGCTTGCATGTGATGCCGTTCGCGGCCATGACAGTATTTTATGCGCCGCGAGCGTTCCGTTCTTCGTGTTAGTTTCACACCCCACAAGTTGTGGTTCGAAGAAACCAGTAAGTATAAATAACCGTCAGAACCGCAGCAATGGTGACGCTTGCAAGCTATGTATAGGGAGTACTCACTGGCGGCCATTGCTATGTGCTCAACTGCTTAGCGCGTGCTGACGGCGAACTTCCAGTTGTTTTTCAACGTGCATTCCCCACGATCAATTTTGCCAGTCATGGCAACCTATTGATGTGAGCTCCTTCTGAACATGCACTTTGAACAGTGCACTCAAATATGGCGTCCAGTGAATACCTCCTATACACAAAACATAATTACTTTATTAATTTACTTAAAGAGTGCAGCTCTTAAGCGCCCGTTCCCGGCTTGAGCGGCGTCGCCGTCGCCGTCGGTGTAACCGCGCGGTGCATTATGGGTAAATTTCCCCCGCTAAATCTAGCGGGAAAATTTCCCCGCTAAATCTAGCGGGAAAACGTGACACCCTCCCCGAGAACAGGTGACCCTCAGTACCCTTCCTTCTTCCTCCTCCTCAAGAGCTGCGCTCTAATTCGGCGTTACAGGGAGTTGTAAACGGCTTTCATTTTTTTATTTTGTTTTAGTGCATCATCCCGGACTGAGGGGATGTTTGCTTCCTTCAGCACGCGGCTGCGCTGCAGTGAAGCGAGAGACACAAAATCCCGATGTGCCGCTCTGCAAATGTCGCTTCTCTGCAGCGCACCGGTGCGCGGCGAGAAGCGCACTCAACGGAGGGCGTCTCTCTCGGACGTGCGGCCTTGAGCACGGGGTCGTTGCCTTCCGTTGTACTTTGACCGCGCGCGCACGCACGGGACGGCGGATAGCTACCAAAGGCAGCGAGCTCGCCCGAGGGAGGATGCCTTCACGCGCGCTCTGCTTAGGGTAGCTAGGGCGACAAAGCTAACCATTTTGTTCCGAACGATTTTTAGTTTGTTCTGGAACGCGTGAGGGCGTCTCCCGGCCGGCACGCGCTCTCTGTGTTGACTGTGCTACGGCGGCATTCCGTTTCCTTCTAGCGATTCCTTTGCATTTCTCCCGTGAGCGCGTGCTGTCGGCCTTTAAATGGCCACCTACGCTTCGTGCTTTCCACTTTTGCCCGCCACCTCCTTTCCTATATTCTCTCCACTTTTTCCATTACCCCAACTTGACCCCTCTCGCAGCTTAGCAGAGGGCGATAAGACGATTTTCTTCCCCGCAGAAAGTCGAGGTTGAACGTCGGCCTTTAAGTTGAAACGAAGTATAGACAATTTTTGTTTCTTGTTCGTGTTTTTTTTTTTTTTTTTCCTCGGCAGGTGTTTTGTTTAGTGACGCCGAACAAAGCGGCTGTCATTTCGCGATCAAAATTAACAATCTAAACACCTTTTTGTTTTGTTTTTAATTATTATTATTAGCGCGCGAAAGTTTACAACAAGCTTTCACCGCGGAAAGCTCCCGAATGGTCCCGTAGAGATATCGATAGCATTATCGATAACACCAGTTGTAAAAGCGGAATTAAACACGGAGAAGACTATCAATAGAAACGCGTTATCGCCAAACAAAACACTCGATAACTATTTCTTCATATCCGGGAAGAACGGACGTCCATGGTAAACATTGAGACGGCGCCTCTGTCCGTGCAAGTGGTTCGTCCTAGGGCTAATGCCCGATTCCTTAGGTTCGCGCTTTTTGCCACCACCACAGTGATTTGCGCTAAGAACGCTGGCGAAACGCAGCCCCAATCGCTCTTACGAAAACTATGTATCGCACACAAAAAAAAAAAAAAAAAAAAAAAAAAAAAGATTGACGCAGTACGTTTGTGCCAAAGGGCCCATTCAGGAAAATGATTAGCGTTCAGCATAATTAAATGAATAATTACGTTTGAGTAATTATAAATTTAATAATTAAATGTTCAGGGATGGTTTTAGTTAGAAACTTGCTGGGCATCATCGAAACCTACTAGATTCACCCACATTGCAATGATGTAAGGCACGCGTAGCATTTTGTGGCGTTGCAAAAACTAGGTTTCGGTTTTTTTATGGGAGCGCATCTCCGTGCCAGCAATCCCGCTCACTGATCTCCGCCAGGGGGCTGAATGGTGCATTGAGCAAACAGGTAGGAACTTGAAGTCACCGGAAGTAAGTGGCTTGTCCCGAAAGTGAGCGCTTGACGGGCTTGTCAACTCTTCCGAGTGCTCGTTCAAACAGGATTCCGGGCGCTTTTTTTCTTTTTTTTTTTTTTTTTTCTTCTTTCGTTAGCAGCGCAGGCAGACCCAAGAAGACTCCTGGGAAGCCATCCGATCTGAGCATTCTGAGATTGTAGTTGACCAAGTGTCCATGTTTTAGTCCACGAGAAAGCGTGGACTAAAACATGGACTGAAAAAGGCACTGATGCCCCAAAGGTATTTTTTTAAACGACGCAAATTGTAATCATAGACCAAAAAAAACGCAACGCAAAAAAAAAAAAAAAAAAAAAATCTCTTCGCGCGCGCGCGTTTTTTTGTTTTTTTTTTTTTTTTTTGGTCACCCCCTCACTTATTTTTATTTGTGACGTAATTGATTATAAAATATAGAAGCTTCGTAAACTACATTTTTTATAATATTTAATAACGGCCTTGGTAAGGCATGTTTTTTTAACGGAATAGTGCACGCACTACGGCCCTTCTTTTTGAAATACCGAAAATCGGAGTCCGATGTGACGTCGCCTCCTGCCTTCTTATCCTCTTTCGGAAAACATGGCGGCGCCGCGGCGCTCGGCACATGTAGCTGTGAGGGTGACCGGTGAGTCAAGGAATCGGACGAAGTTCTCTTTTTAGGTGCCCGACGACCCCTCTGTCTTCGAGGGGGAAATTCTCAAATGGTCAAAACAACTGGGAATGGTGTCTGTGTACCGCAGTTTCGGTTGTGGCTCCGGCAGGGGCAGCCTTTCAACGCAGAACCGGCGCCGGCGCGACGCGGCCCCTCACGTCGCTCGCAAAAGTCTACTGCGCGTTCTCTTCAACCCCGCACCGTTTCAAAGATCGCTGAAGGGGCCCAAAAAGAACTTCAAATTCGAAAGTGAAGCGTCGTCTGCTCACAGCGATAGGCGACACGCACGGAGAAGAGCGGTTGATCGCGGGACGCGGACGAACACGACACTTCGGGTCGGGTCGGTTCGGTTCGGAGGCGTGAGAGGAACTCGAGTTGCAGGACGACTCAATCTTTGACGTCACTGCACTGGTGCGGAACGCGCGGGAGCTTCAAACTCGGCTTTTGGAAAGTGCTTTTTTACTTTACAAATACTGAGTTCCGAAGTTTCGAATTTTGAAGGTAATGTTCAGGCACCGTTTTCAGTCATTTCAGATAATAAAAAAAGAAAAGAATGATTTTGATCTCTCTGTGCCCCTTGGATACACTAGGGCCCAGCAGACGCCCGACTTCTGGGACAAGTATCGAACTTCCGGTTGCTCCACTTGCGCCAGACTCTTTTTTTTCACTTGCGCCAGACTCGAAGAAAAGTACTTTATGCGCCGCGAGCTTTCGGTTCGCCGTATCAGTTCCACAGCGCAGAAGTTGTAGTTGGAAAAAACAGTAAGTAGGAATAACCGTCAGTACCCGGCAATGGCGACCCTTGCAAGCTATGTATAGACGCTTTACACACGCGCCAGATTGAGCCGCCATAGCCGCCCTTCTCTTGTCTTACCGAGATACCGAGCCACTGAAGCGGGCGTTGACGGGTCTTCACAAGGGCCTATGCTGGGCACAAGAACATAGTAGCATCTAAAATGGTAATAAGCTGTCCTGCTGTGGTAATGATGAAGTGAAGCGAACGGAATAAGAGGGAACAAAAACTGAAGGTCAGTTATGGCGGCGCCCATGCACAGCTGCTGTAAAGCGTCTATAGGGAGTATTCAGTGAACGCCATATTTGTTGGGGCTGTTTAGAGCGCATGCTCAGAACGAGCTCACATCAATAGGCTGCTAAGACCGGCACTCTTGATGGTGCGGAATGCACGTTGCAGAAGAACGATGGAAGCTCGCCGTCAGCACGCGCTCAGCATTCGCGCACACAGCTATGGCCACCAGTGAATACCCCCTATAGTAGAGATCAGCAGTCCTGCGTGCGCCGCCACGCGTCGCACGTAGAAGAGGCTAGATAGGTTTTTGACGTAGGTGCGTGTGAAGAAGACGCACCTTCCAGTGCGATGCGTGGCGGCGCAAGCACGTTGCGCGTTTCTGCCGAAGCGGGCGGGATTGCTGACGCGGAGATTCATCAATTATTGGATTTAGTGAATTGTTTGAATTAATCTCCATTAAATCAGAATTTAATCCGAGATTAGCTGGGTTTAGAAGCTTTGGCCAGGTGGCGCGAGCCGCCGCCCGATGAAAATGGTCCAGCCGAATCCATCCATCTAGAGGTGCTCTGATAAGAAACCGAAACCTATAAAAGCGTCCAAATAGGCCTATTGTTATATTACCCAAGCATCAAGGAACAAACAGGGATTGGTGTTCCCCGCGCCACACGTGCCGGTCTTCCCCGTATAAAAGATTCGAAGCAAATAGCCAAAATAAAGCGTTGACGAACGCGCGTGCAAGATGCCATTTGTTTTAGGCATTTGCTTTAGAAAAGTTACTACTGCTGAGTCCAGCACGTGCGGCACGTAGAACACCAACCCCTGCATTTTTCTTGATGCTTGGGTAATTTAGCAATAGGTGAGCACTTCTTCG